TTTTTTTTTTTTTTTTTTTTTCTTTTCTTTTCTTTTTGGGTTAAATTTAATCCACATTTCTTCACTAACAAGAGAGAGAGAGAGAGAGAGAGAGAGAGAGATAGATAGAGGGTTTGTTTTCCAGCCAAGCCAAGATATTTGCTTCCACTTCACATAACCTATATTTCTCTCTCTTCCACACGTGTACTTCAAGATAGATCCTTTTTACTTTTTTTATTTAATAAGTCTCTAAATTTTAATAAATCAAAGTTATTAGGGTTTTTGGGCCTTAGATATGTTTAAATAAAATAAAATAAAATTTAAAATTTAGAGAGATATTAAACCCAATTAATTTTGTTATTTAACATTTATTTAAGGAATTAGAAAAACGATGATGACATGTAGTTAGGGGCGCAGTACTTGGTTTTGGTTCATCCACATCATTCAATTCTCCAAACATTGTGTTCGTTGGATTTGCAAATCTTCCTCTTCCAATTTCATTTCTGCCGTGTCTAAAAGGTTGGATTATATATGAATAATAATAACCTTAAAAAGTTCACCTCATAATAATGAATACAAGATTTAATCCATTTTTTTAATATTATTTTAAAGCTTAATTATATTATCAGGCATTAAGAAATGGAATTAAAATTGTATTGTAATTAACAAACACATTTTCAATTTCCGAATGAAAAAGACATATATTTTTAGGAGTCCAAAAAGCGTACGGGCCTTTGAAATTTTTGACCTGAAAAGAATGGAAAATTGTGTTTGAAGTTAGTATTATATGAAAATGTTTTCTTATTCTTTTTATTTATTTATTTATTTTATTTTGCCTTAGAAATTAGGTTTTCCATTTGACGTATTTTTAGTGCAATCAACTTAAAATGTCCAAAATGTACTAAACAAATTAGAGAATGCTTCAGTAATCGTCTTTGTGTTCCTTTTTTATTTTTATTTTTAATCTTTTTTCTAACATAAAAACAAAAAATTAATTTCATCCACCAATCTTAAGAATTACACCAAAACACTATTAGATCCTTAAATTAACAAAAAATGCAGTTTTTCTAAAAATACATTTTCGTTTGTTTTATTTATTCAGTTTTCTGAATATGAGCAAGTAAATAAATAAAACAAACAGGTTCCAAGTAGCTTTCTGCTTTTTTAATGAAGTAGTAGGAAGACGAGAAAATGCAGCAAACAAGGAGACCCATTTCCTTGCTCGTACATATTAAAATTAAATTTTATACCATTCAATTGATCATATAATATGATTATTATTATTATTATTATGAACCAAGGAACATTAATGGATTAATGTGAGTGAATTAGGAAGAAGAAATTAAAAAGGCAAAGTCAAACCATAAAAACAAAAAAGAATGACCAAAATTATGTGTATATCAATTATTTGGGCTTCATATTTTGACATCATTGCCCAATATTTCAAATGCCCACATTGCAATATCTCCCATGGGGCCACTCGCTGAATAATACAACACAAAATCAATCCCCTTAAAAAAGAAAATAATAATAATAATAATCGTCGACGTGGCAGGTCGAGATTCGTGGTTGAATATTATTGGGTGAAGATTAAAATGAAGCAATAATTCAGAACCCTAATGATGTAAATACCAATATTGGAGAAATTATTTGGTTTATGACAAAACTACCTTTGCTTATTGACTCAAAATTAATTTCATCATTAATTAACAGTAATCACTTGGAAAAGCGAGTTTAGCCCAATTTCGAATCAAAGGGGAGGGGAAGGAGGTTGTGATGTTTAGTATTAATCGGGCCATGTCGGCAGTATTAAATGCATAATTTAATTTGCTTCAATTTATCCTGACATGTGTATCATACAAAACGATGCGTTTTATGCGGTTCAAATTTTCCTGAGAAAAATAAAAGATAAATTATTTCTTTTCGCGCCCATGTCGGCAGTTGGACAAAAAGAAATTAAAAAAAAAAAAGAAAAAAGGAAGAGCATTTCACTTCTGTCAACCACTCTCAAATTAGCATAATTCTCTATCTCAATTCTGGAGGGCATGGTTGCTTCAAAATTAGGCTTCCCTTCTTACTAACCATTGCATAAACAGAAGATAAATGTTACCCACTCTACGTTCGACTCTATCTCATTACAAAAATGGAACGACCTAATAGGTTTCATCAATTAAGAGTTTTGGAAGAAAAATGAAGAGATTGACAACCGTTACACTTATAGTTTATAATGTAACAACCCTGGTATATAATTTATGTTATATTTTGTTCTTTAAGATTGACAATTTAAAACTCTTAACTAACGAAGGTATATGTGTTAATTAATTGAGTGGCACATGATTTCAATTTCACACGTCTAAAAATATGATAGGAAAATATTAAGGGTGCGGAAATGTGTTACAGTTCAAAAAAAACATATATTAGATAATAGAATTGACTAAATGTGATACGTCAACTATCACACTATGCTTGGGCTTGGACATTTATATGAACAATAATGAGGAATCTTGGTGGGTTTATTGCTATTTTTGTGGTTGATTCTGTTTGGCAGTCGGCTATTTTTGTGATTTTTTTATTTCTTTTAAAAAAATTATTCTTTTTCTTCATTGGGAGCTAAAAACTAAAAAAAAAAAAAACTAGACCAAGGGTAAAGTGGACAATACACAAAAGAAAATTATAAGAAAAAATGCAAATTGGGCCTGGTTCAAACGGGCTCTCCAGTCACTCTTCAGGACAGTGATCCAGATGGGCACTAAATGGGCTTCTGAATGGCCCATATATCTGTTATCGTCAATTTCATTATTTTCATTTAAAATCTCAACGAAATTAATTTGGATAATATGTTATTTTAGTTTACTCGGCTCGTCTTCCTTTCGGAGCGAGAAGAATGCAGCGGCGGTGGATATAAGGAGGAATCAATTACAGTGATGCTGAGACTGAGAGTGAACCCCGTTTGGTGCACTCTTCCGATCTCCCATTTCACTTCTCTTCCCCTTCGCCCCTCAATTCTCAGACCTGTTCTCCGCCGCCACAGGCCTCGACTCTTCCTCACCCGATTCTCCGCCTCCTCTGCTGTGCATAAAGCCTCGGAATCTTCTTCAGCTAAAGGCCTCTCGGATGGCGACTTGGAGCCTTTCCTCTCATGTTCGATGCCTCGCCATCCGCTCAAAGTTGCTGTTCTTCTTAGCGGTGGCGTCGATAGCAGCGTCGCCCTCCGCCTCCTCCATGCTGCTGGCCACTCCTGCACTGCCTTCTATCTTAAGATATGGTTTCAGGTGCGTACTCTTTGTTCCTTTAATGGAACAGATCATATGCTTCATGTGTTTTCTTGTAAAGTAAGGAAGCTGATATTGGGAATGCTGGCGCAATCGGTGTTTAGGATTATAATTAATGACGAGCGTGGACGTGTTTCTGCTTTGCTATGTATATGATATGTATGTTCTTGGGCAGAGGACAATAGCCTTTTCATGTGACCGCAGTTTTGATGGATTTTGTTTGCGTAGGAAGACTTCGAGAATTTTTGGTCAGAATGCCCATGGGACGATGATTTGAAGTATGCTAAAGCTGTTTGTGATCAGGTTTGTCACTGTTTTAGCTTTATGAATCCATCTAGACTTGCAAAGTTTTGAGATTGTTTGGATTGACTTTCTAAGGTCTTAAAAACACTTATTTTTGCATTTAGAAGCACTTTTTTTAAGTGCATAGGAAGTTAATCCAAACAGACTTTTAATTTGGAAAAAAAAATCCAAATTGAACGTAGTTCAAGATACCTATAAGTTATTTCACCACATGATGCTAAGCGTAGTTATAGGTTCTGCGTGTGGGGAGAATCTGTCTTATTTTCTGCCGTCGTTTGTGCTGAAGAGAGAATTAGAACTGAAAATGTACACTGGTTTTCAGGTTGATGTACCATTGGAAGTGGTTCATTTGACAGAGGAATATTGGAGGAACGTGGTAAGTGCCTTTACAATTACAAAATTTTATTCTGCAACTTTGTTGGATAACTTAATGATGTACTACATCAAACCAATTTGGTTATGGTTGTGCTGGCTGACCATCTTGCTCATGTGTTCTTTCTAACAGGACGAAATAGTTTTGGGTTAGTTTTTCTGTCTGATGAATATTGTTTAGTTCATGTTTTTAGGTTTCTTATATAATTGAAGAATATCGATGTGGCCGTACTCCAAACCCTGATGTTCTTTGTAACACAAGAATAAAGTTTGGTATGTTCATTAAATTTACTTGAATGGACTTTATAATTTTTTTTGCTATATTGTCAAGTTTTTGGTTATGTCTATGATGTTTTTTGTATTAATATAGTTTATGGCATTCCCTGCTTTTTCCAGGTGCATTCATGGATGCAATAAGCAATATGGAGTTTGATTATGTTGCTTCAGGGCATTATGCGAATGTTATTCATCCATCTGCTGATCAAATGGAAAAACCTTCTGTTTTAGAACTATCCAAGGACATGGTATCTACAAATGGTTGCATTGGCCTTTATTTCATTCTACCCTATCCAATAGGGAGTATCAATCATAACTTGCTTAACTTCAATATTTCGCAGTCGATTGTTTTCGTGTTGACTTTTGCCTATATTCTGTGCATGACAGTTAGTGATGCCATTAGTAATTCAACTTGAAGTCTCATATATTACTCTGTGGCATAAATATGACCTATATTGATGAATTATATGGGCTAATATTTGTTGTAATCCTTCTAGAAACATCATTAACAAGTAATATGATTGCTTACCTAGTTCAAGGTTCATTGTCGAACACATTTGTCTCTTCCTTGTTCCTTCTTGCTCCAAACTAAAGATTTCTTGTTTCTCTTCACTATTTTTGTTTTCTTAGGTCAAAGATCAAACATATTTTCTGTCGCATCTCTCGCAGAACCAGCTTAAAAGGCTTTTATTCCCTCTTGGTTGTATTCCGAAGGTTTGTTCAAGCTTACTTTACAGCATTTATTATCATGGGTTTTTAAGATATCTCTTACGTTTCAGACTTCAAGAGTGTAATCTGAGAGCTTCAGCTATTGTTGGTCTGATTTTGTACTGGCCTTTTAGGCTTCTACAGACATAAACACCTAGCGGCTAACATTGGTTTCATTTAGTTGAGGAATTTATGTATTTAATAGAAGTTAAAAAAATTCTATTACATAATTTCGTAAGCCAATTGGTGTAGATATCATTTTAAAGCTATTGAGTTTTAAACTATTCTTGGGTGCAAGAACTTATATAAATGCTTCAAATAGTAAGTTCATATCATGAATTGGATCTTGCTCCTATCTCAACTCTGGCTACTTTCTTTCATCTAGTGCATACTTGTGTGCTTGTGATCTTGTTAATATGTTTTCCTTGAGTTGTAACTTCAGCAATATTTTTCCTTCTCAGCCTTATATTCCCTCAGCAATTATCTGCAGGATGAGGTTCGCAAACTTGCTGCAAAATTCAACTTACCAAACAAAGACAGAAAGGATTCACAAGGAATATGTTTCCTTGGGAAGGTAGTTTCGGATGTGATGATTTATGCATCTATTTTACTTGGAGGACTGAATGCTTTCTCAAAATTCATTCGTCAATGCCAATATTTCTAATATTTTAGTGTTGCCATTTTATATTTTAAAAATATCCTTCTACTTGTTATCACTATTTAAAATGACAGAAGCTAGCTCAAAGAATTTAGTATAAAATTTGCTAACTGTTGTAGAATTTTTCTGATGGCTAAACTTTCCCCGAGCTGGGTTTTTATTTCCTTATTCTTCATGACAGTGAAAAAAATCTTGTTCATCCAGCTTCAGAAGATGGGTCTCTGTGTAAGGTATCTTGCGGTACAATTAATGCAGAATCTGTTTCTTTGATGTGTAGATAAAATTTAGTGAATTCGTGGCGAGACATATTGGGGAGGACGAAGGTGTGATATTGGAGGCAGAGTCGGGAGATTTTCTTGGCAAACATCGAGGGTTTTGGTTTTACACGATTGGCCAACGCCAAGGCCTAAAACTTCCTGGAGGACCTTGGTATGCCTTTTTAGTTTATTTTCAAGAATAAGTTCAATGTTCCCAGCTGTTTAGCGGTTTATGATCCCTTCCAAATCTTCAAGAACATCTTAAATTCTACTTGGTAGAGTAGATTTGAACGTTTCAGGGTGCCAGTTTAGTTTTAAATAACTAATCACGTTAGATTATCTCCAATTTGTTGCTTCTCAAGTTAATATTCTTTTGTTATGTCTCTTCAGCTTTTATGCATTGGTCTAATGCAGGTATGTTGTGGAGAAAGATATTAGGAACAATGTAGTATTTGTTTCGAGAAATTATTTCTCACTTGACAAAAGAAGACGGTTGTTTCGAGTTGGATCATTGAAATGGCTTAGTGGGTTGGTTCCAGACCAATTTACTGAGCTTCAATGTAAGGTAAAGTTTCAGCTTCCATCTCTCATATTTCTCGCTAGTTTCACTACTTCAAGTTGGCCTGCCTGTAACTGTTCAACAGGAGTCAGTTTATTCGTGCAAATTTGTGTTTGAACTGATGTCAGTTCCAGTTCCCCCTTATTTGATGATTTTATACAATTGTTAGGTCCGACATGGCCCGAGTTTCTATAGTTGCAATTTGACAATGGAACGCAATGAAGATAGTGATGAAGATGTTGCAGTTGTCCATCTAAGCGAAGATGACCAAGGCCTTGCAGCAGGCCAGTTTGCAGCCTTTTATGAGGGAAGGAGATGCATTGGGTCGGGTGTGATTTTAGAATCTTGGGATGATCAGGGGTTTCCTGTATGTGCAAAGGCTCTTGAAATTGCACAAATGGAAGATAAGTCGAAGCTTGGTAAACCAATAAAGATAAAAGTTAAACCAGAGAATGCTACGAAAGAATGTGAACCTAAAGATGATACAAAAATACACGGCGTGTTAAAGAATCAACAAACCACTGTGGTTGAGCAAACCGGAGAAGTGGCTTCGGATGAAGCACTCACCACAGCCCCAATGAAATGGCTTGGAAGCCTTCGGAAGAAGCTGCTGCAGGTATTTTAATTTTTGCCTTAGTTTAGAAATCGAATCCTTGACTACAGCCCTGCAATGAGAGTGAAACCCATATTTTATTCCTTTGAATCTGTTGACTGAATTATGACATATTTGTATGTTTGTGATGGAGCAAATATAGGAGCTCTCCTCTCTTATTCCGACGCCTTTTCTTTTCATTTGAATCGACTGAGTTATTTGTTGTTTCTTTTAACTGAGGGATCAAGTTGATTTAATCATGTCTTTGGAAGTATACAATCTCATCATCATAAATTAGATTTCAAAATGCATAAATTTAGACGAAATTGTGATTAACCGCAATGCCAAACTAGAAAACAATGAATTTGCATTGCAGAGTATAATGTAAAATCAAATACAACAATTGATAGAATTCAAATCTTTAGCATCTGGATCTTGGATGCCAAAAAATAATATGACGATTCTTTCCGAATGATTTACTAGCGAGAGCTCGAGTGACAATCACATCTTTGAAGAAATTGATTGGCTTCAACTTCACCGTATGCATAGGAAGTTGGCTAATGTTATTCATGCAATTTAATATAATAGAAATGTCATCACTTAGTGCTTTTGGAAGTGGGGACGAGTTGCACTATAGTGTTGATGATGTTTGGATTTAATACGGTGGAGGAGGTGACTTGTAGTAATAAGGAGGTGGTGGTGACGAAGACGGGGGTGGAGGTGACTTATAATAATAAGGTGGGGGAGGTGATGGAGATGATGGAGGTGGAGATTTGTAAATATATGGAGGAGGTGGTGATGGAGATGGCGGCGGTGGAGATTTATAATAATATGGGGGAGGGGGAGATTTCAATGGAGGTGGAGGGGACTTGTAATAGTAAGGAGGTGGTGGTGATGGAGATGGTGGAGGAGGAGATTTGTAAATATATGGAGGAGGTGGTGATGGAGATGACGGTGGTGGAGATTTATAGTAATATGGCAGAGGGGGAGATTTCAACGGAGGTGGAGGGGACTTGTAATAGTAAGGAGGTGGTGGTGATGGGGACGGTGGAGGAGGAGATTTGTAAACATATGGGGGAGGTGGTGATGGAGATGGTGGTGGTGGAGATTTATAATAATATGGTGGAGGAGGAGATTTCAATGGAGGTGGAGGGGACTTGTAATAGTAAGGAGGTGGTGGTGACGGGGACGGTGGAGGAGGAGATTTGTAAACATATGGGGGAGGTGGTGATGGAGATGGCGGTGGTGGAGATTTATAATAATACAGTGGAGGGGGAGATTTCAATGGAGGTGGAGGAGACTTGTAATAGTAAGATGGTGGTGGTGAAGATGGTGGTGGAGGAGATTTATAGTAATAAGGGGGTGGTGGGGATTTCAATGGAGGTGGAGGGGACTTGTAATAGTAAGGTGGTGGGGGTGATGGAGAGGGGGGTGGAGGTGACTTATAATAATAAGGTGGAGGAGGTGATGGAGACGGTGGAGGTGGAGATTTATAAATATATGGAGGAGGTGGTGATGGAGACGGTGGAGGTGGTGATTTATAAATATAAGGAGGGGGAGGAGATGGAGATGGAGACGGTGGAGGTGGTGACTTATAGATATAAGGAGGGGGAGGAGATGGAGATGGAGGGGGTGGTGACTTATAATAGTATGGTGGAGGTGGGGATGGTGATGGAGGTGGTGGTGATTTATAGACATAGGGAGGTGGAGGAGAGGGAGATGGTGGAGGAGGTGATTTGTAAACGTAGGGAGGTGGAGGCGATGGAGATGGTGGTGGGGGAGACTTGTAAACATAGGGAGGTGGTGGAGAGGGAGATGGTGGTGGAGGGGACTTATAGACATAAGGTGGGGGCGGTGATGGAGATGGTGGAGGAGGAGACTTGTAGACATAGGGAGGTGGTGGCGATGGAGATGGTGGTGGAGGAGAGCTATAGGTGTAAGGAGGCGGTGGGGATGGAAATGGTGGTGGAGGAGAGCTATAGACGTAAGGAGGCAGTGGTGATGGAGATGGTAGAGGAGGAGACTTGTAGACGTAGGGAGGTGGCGGCGATGGAGATGGGGGTGGAGGAGAGCTATAGACGTAAGGAGGCGGTGGTGATGGAGATGGTGGTGGAGGAGAGCTATAGATGTACGGAGGCGGTGGTGATGGAGATGGTGGAGGAGGAGACTTGTAAACGTAGGGAGGTGGCGGCGATGGAGAAGGTGGTGGAGGAGAGCTATAGACGTAAGGAGGTGGTGGTGATGGAGATGGTGGTGGAGGAGAGCTATAGACGTAAGGTGGGGGCGGTGATGGAGATGGTGGAGGAGGAGATTTGTAGACGTAGGGAGGTGGCGGCGATGGAGATGGTGGTGGAGGAGAGCTATAGACGTAAGGTGGGGGTGGTGATGGAGATGGTGGTGGAGGAGAGCTATAGACGTAAGGAGGGGGTGGCGATGGAGATGGTGGAGGAGGAGATTTGTAGACGTAGGGAGGCGGTGGAGGAGAGATATAGACGTAAGGAGGTGGTGGTGATGGAGATGGTGGAGGAGGAGATGCGTAGACATAGGGGGGTGGTGGAGGAGACTTATAAATATACGGAGGTGGTGGTGGAGACTTGTAGACGTATGGTGGTGGCGATGGAGATTTGTAGATGTACGGAGGAGGTGGAGGAGACTTGTAGACGTATGGTGGTGGAGGTGGAGACTTGTAAATGTAGGGTGGCGGTGGTGGAGATTTGTAGACGTAAGTTGGCGGTGACGGAGACCTGTAGACATAAGAAGTTGGTGGTGGTGGAGACTTATAAACATAGGATGGTGGTGGTGACTTGGGGTGCTTATACTTGGGAGGCAATGGCTTGGGGTAGTGGCGATATTTTGGGGAAGGTGGGGGTGTAGGGTGATAATGGTTAGGTGGAAAATGTTTGGGATGTTGATGCTTATGTAACTCAATTTGACCGAGTTGAGGCTTTTTGATAGGTAACAACTCTTCATCGTCTTGAGCAACAACGACGGTAGTGGCAATGAGGCAAATCACCACCGCCGGGAACAGCAGGTGAGGCCAATGCCTCAGAGGTTTCATAGTCCCCATCGTCAGGCAATGGGCACTTAGCTCTCCAAAACAACACTTAGATTGATGCTGTGAGTTGCATTTCAAGGTGTGCTTCCAACCCTTTATATTCTACCCATCAATGCCTGATTATGATTATGATAATCAAACTACAATTTTTAATTCAAGCTTGGTTCATCGCAGATCTGATTTTTTGAAAATTTTGATTGAATATTGAGCTTTGGAAGATCGTGGCTACCGACTACAAAGTTGTTGGCGGGACAAATGCATTTTGAGCCTTAGTTCATTTAAGACACTAAAGTAATGCACGTTCCCACAGTATCTTTCATCCTCCATACAATGCCATTGGTGCAAGAATAAATCAATATGATTTCTAATTGAAGTAGTCTCCCTTGACTTTCAATAATTCTTTTATTTTAATTAGATTATATTTTTTCTAAAATCCTTTTATTTTATTTTATTAGATTATATTTTATTTTTAATTTTCATAATTTCTTTTATAACAGTTCCATCTTAAGATGATTCTTGTTTTAGTTCTTATATTCCTTCAACTTATATAAAACCTTATTATTTTGAGTTACATAATGAAAGTATTAAAATTACCCCAAAACAGTTTAAAATGTTTGTTCTTCCACCTCTTTTCTCTAGTAATATATGGGTATTTCTCATGACAATCATAGCTTCTTTTATCGTTTTGAAGTGTCACCATAAACCTCAGTGTAGCAAATGGGGCATGCCTGGAACAGAAATATTATGTATTGTATAGACAAAAGTTACTGATAGTCTGTTATTAGAATTACCTCCCAAAAGTGCAAGGGTAAAATATATCAGAACATCACCTTGTTGATACTAAGCCACTTGGTCCTGCAACTGGTATGATACCCCTATGTTTGCATGGTAGAGTAATCCTTTGGTCTCTACATTTGTATTCCATTTGGCATATCACACACCTATATACAAATCAAGATTGATACAATCAGATGTAACAACACATGAGTTAGAAACAGTCATCAGCTTTATTGTCTTTAAAACGCATTTATTAGGGAGAAATTTCTACACCCTTATAAGAAATGTTTCGTTCTACTCCAGCGAATGTGGAATCTTACACATTATTTACCGCTTATACTCAACTCTATCCGGTATATAGAAAAATGTCTTACTGCAAGTTCAACAGATAGAGCCTGGAAGCTCATACATTGCTCCTGAAGTTGGAGCATCTGGTTTTAGACCCTATCTCTGCGCTCCTCCCATTGGAACTTTGTTGGATCCAAAAGAGAAACATCAACTTGACCTTCAAATTCATTTTGTGCAACAGAGTCACTGTCACTGTGATTAGCCTCTTCTGGCTCACTATTACCTTGGAAACCAACGTTCTGGCAACCTGGAATTGTTTGTCCATTATGGTAAGCACGCATTTGCTTATAAAGCAAGTGTTTTGAGCTTAATAACTTACCAACATCATCCTTGGCTTTACTCGTCCCATCACCAACACATGCAACCACTGCTATGAGAAGCCTCCCTCACAATCTCATCTGTCCATTCCATTCAAAAGCTCGGAGCACTCACTATCCTCACTAAAGTCGGCCCATCTTCTTCAATCGTGTAGTTGTTTGTGATGCAACAAGAGGCAATAAGTTTCCCTTTATTGAACGCCATTGATAAACCAAACTTTTCGGGTCCACAATCGTAATTAGAGCCTCCTTGAGGCCTATGAATCCTCGAACAATTTTTCCTTAATCGAGGCAAACAACGTACATTTTTATTCGACACTTAAAGATTCTATTGACGTGGCTAAGTTAAAAGGCATTGATTCTAATACCATGTTAGTAATCACGAACGTCCACAATAGTATAATATTGTTCGGTTTAAGTATAAACTCTAGGGGTTTTTCTCATCATATCAACCATCCTCAACATTGTACTCCACTTTCTTTAATAAAATAAAAAAAAAAAAAAAAAAAAAAAAAAACTAACTAACTAGATAGCCATCGCATCAACGGTATTAACGATATTTTATGAAGGTCGTACAATTATCCCAAATTTTATTGTTTACCTCTTTCTTGGCGGGGTTTATGGTGTTGTTTCCCTGTTCTTCCAAAACCCTATTCAATTCCACAAATTCAGTTCCGTTGTGTGAAATTCGAACCCCGTTTTTGGTTCATTGGATCAGTCCACCAAGATGCCACCCAACGATGACATTGTGTTTTACTTCCCCTGCTACGCTTAAGACTTCCACGCTTTCCTCCGTCTACCTCGCATTCCAGTTTCATTCAATATTCCTGTTCATTGTGTTTTACTTCTTTTGTGGTTCAAAGAGGGTAACTCCGCAAGGGAATTCGGTCACAACTGAGACTTGGGGGGCAATGTTTGTTGATAAATCTCCCCTAATTTGTTCGGCCTCATTGTCGCTAATTCAATCCGACGTGTCGAATAAGTCTGATTCTGATATTCGTACGAACCATCGTTTTTTGACTGGTGGGTACATTCAGTGGCCAGCCAATTTCAGGAAACACAAGGCCTGAGTCAATACTCCGCCAACTTACTACCAAGAAAGGACAGGTATTTGGTGCATGCTTGATCTGCCTAACTTTTCGTTATAAAACATGACAATTTCTTCTCCTTTTAAATTGGTGAAAGATTGAGAGTGCTCTTAGTTTAGCATTTTGGTTAGCTTGGTGGGTCTTATCTGCCCCCCTCTGTTCTTCTTTTCCTATATATTCAGACTCTTGGTGTGGCTGTGCGTACTTTTCTTTTTAGCATTCAAGATATTTAACATGCATATGCTCTGATTCAAGTTTGTACTTATTCATTGTAGCTCTATAGAGACTGTCTTAACCATGAATTGAAGGAGATGATAAGAGGACATCACGAACAATAATGGTTCAGGTAATCTTGGATTTGGTGTGTATTTCTAGTTATGATATTTTTCAGTGGAGAACTGATCAAGATCCTTTGTTTCTTTTCTTCAGAGCTCAAGGACTCCAGGAACACTTGTCCATGGTGGTAGCAACCTGACTATTGGTCGGGTTACAGCTGGTTTGGAGTTCAACCGCCCTATCAGACCAGACCAATGTGGAGTGGAACTGGAGGACTTTATTTCCAGGTACTTTAGTTGAACTGGATACATGCTTCTTGAAATCTTTGTCGACTTTGATATGCTTGGTCCTATAATGTTGAACTGGATTAGGCTATAGATCAGATGGTAGCCTTCTTGTTGCAGTAAACACGTATTTTCTTATCTCATGGAAAACCAACTATTTCCTATGAACCATTATGCCTTAGAGCATTAACCTCTTCCATAATAGGTAGTTTCCTATTTGGATAATCTAAGGCTTCTTGTGTATTCCTTGGGACAAATAAGTTATCTATCCTAGAAGTGAAAATTTTATGTCGGTTTGACAACTTTTCGTACGAGATATAATTTGCAATGAGATATTTAGTGCAAATTCTAGTAGCTTTCCTCAAGGCAATAGGCAAGACATTTTCAGTGACAATGCTCGAGTTGTAAATAGATTGAAGAATAAGTTATGTGCTTGATTTGAGGAAGAAAAATATAGAGTGTTCCACAGGCGGCACTATACAATTTCCGTGTGCAAAAGCTGGTCTCTGCAGCTTCGAAATAAGGTACATTTTGATTGAATGAAGCTGAGTGTGCGTATCATCTTAAGGTACAATCAATCATTCCTCTGGCTGCAGTTTTCTGTCTCAGCCAAAGGCCCTTCTTCCAAATTTTACACATTAATTAAACCATGAAATATCAAACTCTCCTAAGCTCTTCTCTCTCTGTCTTTTGAAGTAGAAAGTATGGATAAGAAAAGTAGTGAGTTTCAGTTAGTTGGTGAAAATAGAATATATTGGCAATGAGAAACTGAATGAGGTTGTAATGTTGGAAAAGGACCTTATCTCATTGTTATGATTATGTAGGCCCCAAATAAAACAAGGGAGAATCTTCAAACAACAAAATTCTATATTTATTGATGTGCAATTTCCGTAGGAGTGGTTATCATTATAATGTTTCTTTTTCTTTTCTTTTTTTAAATATTTGCACCGATAGTATATGTATATACTTCTAAGAACTCATCAATAATTGACTGAATTCGTAATAGTAAAAGTTGCTTTACATGATTGTGAATTTGAATATCAATCTAAAAATTATGGTACTCCAGTTCATTTGCATTTTAGATTTATACTTTATATCTGTGACTACTTTCAAAACTTTTGATGTTGGTAGTGTAAAGACAATATATATAGATGAAGTTTGCATAAAAAAAAAAAGGTTTAATAATTTGTAGTTTGATGAGAAATGGAATGGGTTTATGGAAGGCGGCATGGAAATAATAAGGTGGTAAGAGGTAAGAGGGGATTGATAAGGCAGAATGTTGTCGAATTGTGTCTGTGAAACAGTGAAAAGGGGCGTAGGGAAATGGAGGGAGGGATTAGCCGACCAGGAAACCAAGACGAGGCCACCAAAGCAAATGTTGGCCTCCGCATTTACATTAATTCACATACAAAAACACTTACCTAATTCCTAAACATATTTCATTCCCAAAGACTCTCAATTTCTAGACTTCATTTCCTTCGCCCTCTCTCTGCTTTGGCAGTGGGATTATGGTCTCCCCACTCCGCTCTCCAACGCTAATCCTTTCACACCCACCCCCTCTGCACGTGAACCTCAGTCAACACTTCAAATCTAATGCCTCCATTCCAATGAATGTGTTGGGACTTGGGAGTTCAACCCATTACTTCCACAAACATTACTCTATCAAATTAGTGAGTTAGATTTGTTTCTTATCAAGTTTTTTCCTGTTAGATCGGTGAGTGATTGAATTTGGTTATATTGGAGATCACTAAGTTAGCATCATTCATTCATGGATTGCGAATTCTTTATTTGAAATTATAATAAGTTTGGATGATGTTTTAATAAAACACTTCAAAAAGTGTTGTTTTGCTTTGAAATTTAAGCCCTTTTTCTTATGCCCTTTTCACACTGCTCACACTGTTCAATGAGTCGCTTGTTCTTTCAAATCCCAAGACTTGTGATATCTATGTGTGTCTCTCTCTCACCCTTTGTTTGGTATTTTATTTTTCTGATTGTTTAGTCATTCTGGCAAGTGATCTTGGCCTTGTCCTTTCTTCCACTCACTTGGGAGTTCCTCTTTTATTTATTTTATCTCTTTTAATTTGGGTGTGATTTGTCCAATCTCTTCTATCTTATTAACTTTCAATCACTTCTTTCTCCCCTCCCTCCCTCCCTCTCCTATATATTATGAGGGTGTAAACAGTCTCCGGAGCATAACCATTTCTCTCCCTTAAACCATCAACAAACATGACTGATCCCTACTCCATGCTTCACCCCTACTTTTCTTCTTCTTCTAAATCATCTTACTCTCCTTATCATCATCTCTTCTCTCTTTCTTACTCCAATGATAACAATACCCTAAAAAACACATCCTCCTCCTCCTCCTCCTCTTTCACAACAACCCATGGATCATTTTCTCCTGATTCTTGTTCCTCCCCTCAAGTCCTTCCCCTTTTAAGCTTGAGCCCTGCAAGGCATGATCAAGAACATCACTCCTGTAGGCCTTGTGAAGACGAGGAGGATGAGGAGGAGGAGAGCGTTACAGTTGCTTTGCATTTAGGGCTTCCAACTCCTCCTTCTTCTGATCTGATTTTGAGGCTCTCTTCAACTGAGATCTCAGACAAGGAAGACCAACAAGAAGCTGTCCCTGTTGTTGTTCCTAATTACTACTCCTCCTCTACTGCTGGACTCAACAAGGGTCAGTATTGGATTCCCACTCCTGCTCAGATTCTCATTGGTCCAACTCACTTCTCTTGCCCTCTTTGCTTCAAGACCTTCAACAGATACAACAACATGCAGGTACTATCAAATCAACCAAAACCCAGATGGGATTTTTCTCCCTCACCTTTCTGATTCATTTTCATAATATTGCTGAAAAAGACCAAAATTTTCTTCTTTACGCCATATGCCTCCTACTCTTTTGCAAATTTCTAGACTGATTTCAGCCTTTGGCTTTTGTTTTTTGTTTGATATCTTGGAGTGAGTGACTAGGATAAAGAATATATATACATATATTTGCAGACCCTTTAGGGCCCCCTTTCTTTTTTTTCCTTTTTCTCTCAGGAGATTTCATTAGGTGTATGTGTGATCAAGTTTCATGCATGAGATTTTGGTTAATTAACTCATATAAGTCATGACATATATCTTTTGGGTGCATGGTTATTCTAGTTTTGGGGATTTTCAAAAGATCAGAACAAATCTTCCCTGGTCTATTTCAGAATAACATCAGCAAATCCTCCATCTTTATGTGATTGAACAACACAGCAGCCATTTTTCTCTTTTGACATTTTGAACTTCGTGTAATTTAATAAACTTTGGCAGTCGTCTGAAATCTAACTCAACATTTATGCATGTGCTGTGTTTTCCTTTCTTTTTCCATAAATTATTTTCATCCATTTTCGCTTAGTTTAATGCAATATTGAGACTTTATATTGCTCTAAGTATTTGTAGCTAATTCAACACCAAAAGGAGGAATCCCAAGTTTTCGAGAACAACGAAAGCCTTTTTTTTGCTTTTCCAATTCCCTTTGACCACCATAATTGATTCGGAGGTCGGATATCATTTATGAAGTTGAAAACTCCTGAATCTTTTGCCTAAAAAGACCGAGAGTTATGATATATATACAAGAAAATTTGTATCAAAGGAAATGAACATGATCATATTCTGTCAGTGCAACAACTTTTGTGTGTTTAATTTCAAACCAAATGTTTGAAGAAGAAAAAAAAGAAACCCCCATAAACATATACATAAAATAATTAAGATTTGAAACCCTATCTGAAGATCATGGGGTAATTTGACAGATGCATATGTGGGGGCATGGATCTCAATACAGAAAAGGGCCACAGTCACTAAGAGGAACACAACCAACGGCGATGCTTAGGCTGCCATGTTACTGCTGTGCGCCAGGGTGCAGAAACAACATAGACCATCCAAGGTCCAAGCCATTGAAAGACTTCAGAACCCTTCAAACGCATTACAAAAGAAAGCATGGAATCAAGCCATTTACATGTAGAAAATGTGGGAAGGCCTTTGCTGTGAGAGGGGACTGGAGAACCCACGAGAAGAATTGTGGGAAGCTTTGGCACTGCACTTGTGGCTCTGATTTTAAGCACAAAAGGTCTCTCAAAGATCACATCAAGGCCTTTGGACATGGCCATGCAGCTTATGGGATTGACTCTTTTGACGAAGATGATGAGGCAGCTTCTGAGATTGAACATGATAATGACTTGTCTCTAAGGAATGGAGATTGATATGATAATGCCAAATGTTTATTGTGCCACCTGCCTGGGTTCAATTTTTTTGCTTGTACTGTCAAATTGGAGTTATTTTCAATTATTGTTCTTTTCACCCGTTAAGTGCCTTCATTACTTGGATATGGCTAGGGTTTTATTCTTCATCCTCATTTTCATTCAAACCCCAGTAACCCAATACTTGACGTGCTCTCTACCATGGCCGAGGAGCATAGTTTATGTGAGATCTTACATTGATTGGAGAGTAAAACGGGTTTTAAAAATCTTGAAAGAAAGTCCAAAGGAAAAAAACTCAAAAGACAACAATTTATGTACTACTATTCTTGGATATGGATATGGGTAGGGTTAAAAGTGTACCACTTAGATATGATATGATAGTAGAGGATAAATGGTTCGGATGGTTTGATGTAATTTGGTATGATACAGGATAACCAAAACTAGGTACTCATTTAAGAGCTTCGATGGTTCATTCTTTTTCTTGAATGATTGGAATGGTGTAAAGGACAAAGGCATTGCGTCCAAAACATGAAGGCATCGCTTACACGCAACTCAAACATTTATTTTCAACACACAACTCGCCCATCTTAAGTTTCCTTTCTTGATCACTAAAAATTACATCTCTCCCACACACCAAATTATTGGATTCCCTCCATGATTTAGGCCTTTAGGTGAGCTTCAGTGATCATAGTTAACCACAACTCAACTCAGGGTGAAAAAAAACTTAGTTAGAGGAACTAAAGATTAGGCAGCTAAAAGAGTTTAGTGCAGCAATGGGGGAAAGGAATAAAAGGGTTTATTAAGAGGAGGGATTGTGGGATATGTGGAGGATTTGATGATGTGGGAGACAGGGGAGAGAGAGAGAGTAGAGAGAGAAGGGTTTATTGAGATGTCATCTCAGGGAAAGAGGGAAAGAGGAGTGGTAGAATAAGAAATAGGTTGCAGTAGTTATTAAGGGATAGAGATTTTGAAAGTACAAATGAATGGTGATTTAACACAACAGTAAAAGAACTAAGTATAAATATATGCGATTCTTTTCTTTTCTTTGTTAAATCTGTACATTTCCAGTGTTCTGTCGCAGCGCTAATAACCATCTGTCTGCCATTCAGACATGATGGATCCATGTTTCTTTTTTCTTTTTTTTCTTTTTTTTTTTCTTTTTAAGGTTCAAATACTATTAATTTTAAATCTTTCATCTCTTGTTCTTTCAAATGTTCTGTTCCGTAATGTCAAATATTGGAAAGCATGCAACTGGGAAACGTAGAAGAGAAAAAGGAGTGAGAGGAAACACAAAAGTAAAAAATCTTGCCCATTATTATTAATCAACTTTTTGATTAATCAAAAAGATGTCCTTTTTCCCAAACCAGATTTTGATGCCTTTAAGAGCTTTTAAGATATTGTATATAATATGATCTTAAACTACATACAGACAAATATGCATGGGGTTGCTTTGGATGTTGGGTTTGCATCTCTTAATAGTTGGGTCCTAAGAAGTATGAATTGAATGATCGGTCCATCCACCGTTGAAACATTGTTGAATCTAAAAGGTTTCTTTTTCCTCTTCCCAATAAAGCTTCAGTTTTGTTTTGCTTTCTGTATCTTTTCTTGGATGAAAACACACACACACACACTCTCTCTCTTTCTTAGGTTTTGATCATGTTGAGTCACTTTAATTTCTTTATCCAACTTTGAATAAAATACAATCAAATGAGCCTCGCGAAAGTTATGGGAATAGACAGCTTCAATCCCATGAATCTCTTGATGCACCATTATTATTATTATGCCCACTTTGTTAAAGTTGACAAGATTGGAATCCCTCCTGCTCTCCGTCTGCACATCTTTCAATTTGCATTTGCTTTCCTTTAAGACGCAAGCCCAGAGGCCCTCTCAGCTCAAACTTGGACGGCCCTAAGGAAGAAATTTTTAACAAGTTGTTCTCTTCATAAGGTCACTTATCAGAAAGTAAGAGAGAATGATGGGGCCATCCAAATAAAGCATAGATACGAGAATGAACACAGAATTGAGATCAACAAGTAAACCAATTCCATTCATTTTTCACTCTGATAAGGTGAAGAGTTCAACTTTTTACACGGAATTGACATTTTTATGGAAGGGGGCTGTGTGCTTGTTGAGGCAAATGACAGGTAACACAGAAATGGTAACCCTTTATTCCCCATGTTCTTTTTTTTCCAGAAAATTTACAACACAGAAATGGCAAGGAACAGAAGAGAAAGGTAACTACAAGCTCAAATCCTCCGGCAGGCTGATTTCCAGAAAATAAAGGCTGCAAAACCAGTGAGATTGTGGCATTAGATACATTATAAATCAAGTAGAAAGAAACAAAGCAGCATATTGTTGAAAGAGCCAAATGCGCGTCCAACCTAACTGTTTTTCTTTCATTTTCTTTTTATCCCTTAACGAATGAACAAGATTCAAGATTTAGCAAGTGAAAGCTCGTAATTACTCCAAGTATGCTTTTCACAAAATTATTCGACATCAGGCAATAACTTGGGTGAATTACCCTTGTTCAAAGAATCTTTCATTTTTTTACTACTCTGGCTTCCATTTTCCTCCTTCCGAGAGGCAGGGTGCTCAAGAGTGGAAGTGGAATTGAAGCATTAATCATTAACATGGGGTAAAAACCCAAGTTCATCGCTAGCAAATATTATTCTCTTTGGGCTTTCCCTTCCGGGCTTCTCAAGGTTTTTAAAACACGTCTGTTGGAGAAAGGTTTCCACACCCTTATAAGGAATACTTCGTTCCTTCTCCAACCAATGAGAGATCTCACAATCCACCCCCTTGGAGGCTCAGCGTCCTCGATGGCACATCGCCCAATATCTAGCTGGGATACCATTTATAACAGTCCAAGCCCACCACTAGCAGATATTGTCCTCTTTAGGCTTTCTCTCAAGGTTTTTAAAATGCGTTTATTGGGGAGAGATTTCCACATCCTTATAAGGAATGTTTCATTCTCCTCTCCAATTGATGTGAGATGTCACACATTCAAGGAAGAAATTAGAAACATAACAAACCCAGAAACCATGGTAGAAATTAACAGCAATAGGGGGAATTTAAGAAGTTAATTCACTTTCATCTCAGCAAGGATCATAAGGTTAAGTTGTTTTCATCAGTTCAAATTTTAATGGATACCAGAGCAGATTGTCATTAACATAACTACATAGAAGGCTGTGAATTTTAATGGAAAATTTTGTTTAACATGCAGGAAAAGAAAAGGAGTAATGCATCAAGATGGTCGGCTACTTCTTCCCATGTTTTCTTACCTTGCAGACATACAAGCCATTCCTAAGAAGACGACCTTCACAGCTTGCTTCTGTCCAGCATAATCAAATGCCAAAGGCAGCATTTCATGCAGAGTTAGAAACGCCATTATTCCGCCAACTGAAAGCATGAAATAAATAGAATAAAACAATGTCCAAAGGATAAAAAATGTCTTCCTTCAATTTCTAAGTCAAGTACTCTGTTTTGCAATACCAGATCCTAGTAGACCTTCCAGAATTTCAGGACTCAAGCTGCTTGGAAATAAGTAGGCTGCAGAAAAAATGCAGTTAAATACTGAACATTCCATGTGTCCCCTTCAAGGCATTGGTTACAAGTCCCAAGTTAAACACCATATAACAAATCTGCCAGTATTATCAATGCATTTGGTCGAAATAGATCATACTTTAAGCCAGAAAATGATATCCCTATCTAAAATTGATGTTCACACATCATTAACGGCACTTACTCTTACATTATAATAATGCATGCGTAACACTTTGGAAATTCAGCTTACATTTTCAGCGAAAGAACATCTAGATTCAGCGTCTCTTTAGTGCAGTTGGACTTACCTACAATTACAACACCGAGGGGCTCAGCAAAACCAGAGAGAGTAGCCAACTTGAATGCCTGCCATTTGCTGAGCACAAAAAACAACAAGAAATTAACCATATTCAATCCTTTAAATTGGACAAGGTAAAGATGTGAAAAAACATGCCAGTCCAAGCCCACATATAGCAAATATTGTCCTATTTGGGCTTTCCTTTTTGGGTTTTCCCTTAAGGTTTTTAAAACGAGTCTGCCAGGGAGGGGATTCCACACCTTTATAAGGCATCATTCTCCTCTCCAACCGATGTGGGATTTCACAATCCACCCCTCTTGGAGGCCCAACGTCCTTACTAACACATTGCTCAGTGTTTAAAACCTTGAAAACCTTGAAGGGAAGCCCAAAAGGAAAAGCCCAAAGAGGACAATATTTGCTAGCAGTGGGCTTGGAAGACTTGAGAGGTAATGATAACGGCTTGAACTAACAATATTTGGGGTAAAAAATTTCGTAAGTGACCAACAACAAAACTTGAACCCATCATCTAAATGTTTCTAAAACTTACAATTTGATTGAGGGAAATTCATTGGAAATTGAGTCAGTCGACAACACATTTCATATGAGAGGAAATGATTAACGAAAGCATGAAAATTTTGAGTTTACCCCAATTCATAACATAAACTGAAATTATTCACTAACCTCTGTGTAGCAAAATAAACAGGAAGCGCAACAGCTATACCCTGCATAATATTACAAGAGTCAAGACCTAACATAGATAATTTCCATGTGGCATTTCCCTAAATTTTTATCCCACCAGCGTCAATCAAAGCCCAAATAAACTGATGGATAGAATCATACCAACGAGAGGCACTAATAAATATTTATTCAAAAACTATCTGGTTGCACCCAGCATCAGGTTATTAAGTCCAGGTAATCCAATGAAGAAAAATGCTAAAATGATATGGACACCTATTTCCAGAGAAAAGCGTAATGTAGGCTATGTAACAAGAAAATAAATACCTCTGGTATGTTGTGCAAGGCAATGGCTAAGGCTAAGTTTAGACCAACACGAAGGCCCTACATAAAATTAAAAAGAAATTGATTGGTGTCAGCAATTATAAGCAATAGGGCTCAGAAAAACCAAAATTTTAACTATCACCAATGAAAATATTGAATTCAATAGGGCTCGTTCATATAAATGAATAAGCAACATTCCAACATGAAGGCATTTACAGTTTTGTTAAGCAGAAAATAAATACCTTTTATGAAGTTTATTATTTGAGTTCTTTAAGCTGAGATCAAACTACATTATCCCATTTCAATTTAAGAAGGGTTATGCTGAGGTGTACCTTAATTGATCCAAGAAAGACAGCCATTCCTTCTGGAAAATTATGTAAACTTATTCCTGCATTTCATTAGACTAAATTAACGATGTTCTTGCTTCTTGGACAAATTGTTAGAGAATATAAACTTGTACCATTTATACATGACAGTTGTATATGTATATACCTATTGCTGTTATTATGCCACTGAACAGAACCTGACGGCGATGCTTTTTCATAATGTCCTTCCCCCCTTCGTCATCGTCCTATTATCCAACATAGAGAGTCAAACTCTAGATAAATTAATATTACTCTTTCTAAGAATGCTTTAAGGAGCAGAAAGTGAGTTTAAACGAGAATAGTTACAACCTTCTTACGTTTGGTATCTGAACCAGGAGCAAGTGTGGGTTCTGGGATAAAATGAGCAACAAATGCAAAGAAGATAACACCTGCAAAAAACTGCAGTACGGATAAAAAGACACTTCATGAATGTACAAGTACTGAAATCATTCAATAAAGACTCATGACATGTATCAGATGAAATGCTGAATAATTATTTACCCAAAGATTTCCTTTTAAGAATCCAATTGAGTTAATCGCATTATGAGCTAAATCCAGGAACGAAATGCTCAACATTAAACCTGCAGCAAAGCCCTGCATTTCAGACTCGGTGATTTAGACTAATCCATAGAGTAGAACTGAAATTAACATATAAGTTAATGCCCACATGGTAACAAAATGATGTATTTAACAACACTCCTTATTGCAAGAATTATGATTATTTTAAACTTAGAAGAAGTGAATACTATATTGCACGAGTGACCCAAATATAAACTTGAGCTACCAAAATTCATGCTAAATTACTACAATTAGAAAGAGTTGTGGTTCCAATTGGATTCAATCTCAGAAAATATTCCATTCCTTCGAAGATGGGTAAAAGGAACAGGAGAGAAGAAGAAAAGGCACAGTTTCCACCTTTGTTAAAGGTAAGGCAGTGCCCCTTTCTTCATCTTCTTTATTCTTCTTCTTCCTTTTTCTAATCTATGTTTTACACTTTCTTTCTTTCTTTTCCTCTCTTTCTTTTATTTTAAAATTTTCTAAAGAGATCGAGGAAGAATCCACATGGTCCAAAATAGGCACACCGAGCTGTAAGGAATGATATAATCATATAGCAACGATAAGGTATTGTAGTCAATTTCATGGACAACGAAGTAAAAATAACAGATAAGAAAACGTTTAGCCTTTCATCACCACAATTGAACAATATTCTAGGGTTGATTTATGCTACAAAGCTATCCCCCATCCCCAAAAGAATCAAAAAAGGAAACCTCCAAGCATCACCTGTAAAAGACCGAGCATCTTCAAATTTGGGGCTCCGCTAAGAATCACAAAAAGTGCACCTGTTCCAAATGTTAGAATAGAAATGAGTCTGATGCTTTAAAATGCTAATGGACCAGAAGTGATAAGAAGGTGTCAAGGCTCAATATGGACACTATGCCACTAAAATTGTAAATAATTAAGTTCCAAGCCCCGTACAGAGAGAGAGGAAAGAGACCATGCTGGTTCTTCTTTGTCAAAATTAAGCATGGATAATGGAAAGTTGGAAGTAACGATTGTGTACAACAGGACTCGTAAAACTAATTTCACACAATGAAACAAAAGAAGTTGTGGAAAATAGAAATTACAAGTTAATCATACGAGACCAATGAATGAATTCAACAAGGCCGTGAGAATGACTTTGAGGTGCTCTTGTCTACAAGAATGGGCACTGTAGCCGGTGAACAAAAACGGGGGTAACTGGGTTTTCGGCAATGAAGAATATGGTACAAGATCTGTTCTATAGGGTTATGCACCTGTGTCCTTGAGTTCTAAGAACTCAGAACTAGAAAACGATCATCTATATAAGAACAGCAGTAAATTTTCCCAGGATTTTCAAAAGCCGACTTCAAAACCTCATAACCAGATAGATATATTGTAACCATGTAACATTCACGATTTCGAGACTGTAAAGACTAGATAAAGAACAATCCCAACTAACTTGCCAAACATCAATTTACTTCTTGACATATCGAATCCAAGAAACATTTCATATTAAATTTGGTCTCAAGGCCCAATTGACAAATACTTCAAAATGTAACCAAAGATAATCAAGAATGAAGAACAAACGAAAATAAAAAAAGAAACAAGAAAGGAAGAAAAGAAAACCCAGGCAAGTACCCAGTGAGGTCCGCTAAGAATCCATGAGATAATTCTGAATTGAAACCAGACCCACAGAGCATATAACGAGAATAAACTTGACTAACCTAGAGAAGTACTGAATCCCCCCAGAAGCGAAAGTGCAAGAGCTACCAACACCTGAGAAGCCATGGAGGTCTTGTAGAGTTGTATCGGTAAGAACAGTGTGGAACCCCCGAAATACTCGAGGGCTTTTAAAACCTTCCAAATTCAGAGAAATTGGCGACAGAAAGATAGCAATAGAGAGAGAAATGTTCAAGGGATACTACGCGCGCAAGTGAAGGAGATGACTGAATTCTGTAAGCGGCGAGGAACTTGCCGCCGCTACAGAAGCACTATATAATAGGATTAGAAAACTGTTTTGTTTTCTTCAGTTGCAAAATGGATTAGAGGAATTTGAGTGCGCGAGTGCGCGCGTGTGAGAATCTTCGCTGGCGAGAAGAAAAGATGTTTAGGAAAATCGTTCAAGAAAGTTTACACTTTTTGTTTCAGTTTGGGTTTCGGTTACCTTGCTCTATCCAAATATTATCTGTGTTTTTATATATATATTTGGTGTAATAACGCAGGAAAAGAATATCGATCATCTTGCTGTTTGTTTGAATTAAAATTTAAGACGGAGGGGAGGGAGACCAAGAGACCAATAGAGAGATGCCACGTGTATGGAGTGGTCAGGTCAGTGAAGAGCTTTCGCTGCTGACGCTAATCCTACAAGGACAGCGAGAAGAAACGCTCTCTCTCTCTCTCTCTCCCTCTCTCTCTCTCTCTCTCCCTCCCTCCCTCCCTCCCTCCCTCCCTCCTCGGTGGTGATTCAAAAGCTATTGAGGTTAGGTTTTTAAATTGCTCCCTTTTTTTGCGCCAATTGATTTGGATTAAATCTTAATTGATTGTTTAAGCTATCAGTTCAGAGTAATTCCACCTCGACCCTGATTTTCTTTTGTCGTTTCATGTATATTTATATACATTAGAAGCCGGGGTTGGTTATACTTCCCATGGGATTCTGAGTTCTTCGATCGAGATTAAAGATTCGTCTCTCGGATATATCCTTCGTCAGGTTAGGGCTTATGGTCTGTTCCTCGTGTTGCCTTCTTTGAATACTCCTTTCGCTGCTGAAACTTTTCAACTGTGTTGTTGTGTACAAACAGAGTGGGGGTTTGGGATTTTTTTTTATTTTTTTATTTTTTGAGTATTTTTGTTGCCTACTGATTGGTGTTTCGTGGGTTTGCCAAGCTGTGTATGCCATTGAAACGTATTCAAACTTCATATGATTCTATATGGTGACTGCATTACAAGTCTTGTATACAGTTGGGTTGCTAGAAATGTAGAGAACATGGCAGTGGTTATGAAATTAAGCTTCAAATCATTACTAGCTGACACTTTATCCTGTGGAAAGCGAACAGAGGTTTAAGAATTCTTCAACGAAGGATGGAAGAGGGGTATCTGAAGAGATTGATACTTAGGCTTGCTGATTTCCATCTTCTTTTATCCTACTTACTCTGCTTAAAAGTTCAAATGTGGTATGGTAATTTGTTGTTTCCACTCTCCAGACAGGACATTGGTCTAACTATCTCATTTCAAGCCTATCTAGCAATACTTCATTTCAAAATGAAGCATGGACGTAAAGAATTTTTTATTACCAGCATAAACTTATCATATCAATGTCTTGTGGTATACTTTTGGAATAGTTGTGAGTTTAGAGAACCAGAGTGATATGAGTAGAACTTGAGGACCAGAGTGATATAAATAGAAGTTTATAGACGTAAATGATAATTGGTAGTTGGAGCCAATAATAGTTTTCAGCATTTGAGATGCCGTCTCTGGATATATTGCTTCCTACTTCCTTCAACTATAATTTCTTTCTATGCATCATCCATTCCAAACTGGGACATGAGAAAGATTCCTGAGTTTTGAATATTTACAGGGTACGAACGACGAGAAATACTTTATGTTCCAAGTGATTCGCCTTTGTGGTTTTAAACCAACCTTAAGCATTGTGCACCACTCTTTGCCTTTTTTTGTTTAAAATTGCATCTTCTTTTCTTTTTGAGTATTTTTTGGAGTGATTTTAATGCAGTATACTCTGAAAGATGGATTCTCATGATGAGGCTGGATGCCAAGCTCCTCCGGAGGGTCCTTTCCTGTGCATCAACAACTGTGGCTTCTTCGGTAGTGTAGCCACTAAGAACATGTGCTCCAAGTGTCATAAAGACGTGATGCTGAAACAAGATCAGGCTAAGCTTGCTGCTTCATCTATTGAAAATTTTGTCAATGGATCGTCTAGTAGCTTTAAGGAAGTGCCTGAAAGTGTTAGCAATGATGCCATTTTTGTGGAACCAAAGACTGGTGAATCACATACACTGCCAGCAATGGGATCTGTGGAAGGTGAGAAACCAAAAAATGAGGGTCCAAAACGTTGCAACTCTTGTAACAAGCGTGTTGGTTTAACCGGGTTCAATTGTCGGTGTGGTAATGTATTTTGTACAGTTCATCGTTACTCTGACAAACATGACTGCCCCTTTGATTACCACATGGCTGCTCAAAATGCCATATCGAAAGCCAACCCAGAAGCTCGATAAGATCTAGATTTCTCAGTACAAGTATGTGTCCTAAATTGATATTCATATCCAGCTGTGAGATGGCTTCTGATTTGCTGCAAATCTATGTATTCTCGCATTATGTTCATATATATGTTGATGATATTACAGTTACAATATATCTGAGCTGTGTTCTGGTCTTGCATCAACTTGGGAATCTTCTCCCTCCTTGTTCTCTGCTGAACTACCAATCGAAATAAGTTCAGCTGAATTTACTTTTGGAGACAAATAGAAAATAGAAGCTTAAAGCTGAAAACTTGATCTCTCTTTAAGCATAGCCTGTTAATTTGCATTAAACTTTGAGCATGATTCTGAATGTCAGATAATGTTTGTAAGAGAAAAGTATTTTGTGCAGCGCAAAAGAAAGATTCTGGTTTTGGTTTCCAAGTTGAAAGGAAGAAGGAAAAGGAGGTTTTCAGTTGTATTGAGAAGACATGAGGATCGCCAATGGGCTGAAACAATGAGGTGTGGACACACTTGGGTTAGTTGCAGGCTTGTTTTACAGCCCAAGAAATGGGTTGATGGAAGTTTATCTTCTTTGATGTTTGGTTTATTATATATGAATAAGCTTGAGATTTGAAGTGCACGTCCCAAGGAGACAAGATCAAATTATTTAGTTGTAGTAGAAACATAATTGCATAGTTAAATTAGGAGTGGTCCTCCAGGTTTGTGAGGAATTGATGAACTGTGAAAGAATGCATAGCATAGCATATACCAAAATGTAGAAAATAATGGAGAAGTGAAGAAGCATTGAATGTATATGAGCATAATAATATTATAGGAAGCAATGGGTTGGGTTGGGTTGAGTTTTAGTTTAGTTTAGTTTCGTGGGAATTGCATAGAACGAGACAATGCGATGCACATGCCCTTCCAAGATGCATGTCTCGTGGGAATTAACAATTTTGAACTCACCTTCCAATTCTGTCGACCTCATTTTTTCTTACTGCCTGTCATGCAACTTGCTCTCAACATCTTTAAATAATCGAATCTCATCACTTCTATTTCCTTCCTCATCAAATCACTCCATCGTTCTATGTATAAATTTCTAAACTTAAACATGGTCCAAACACTACAATTTAATTACCATTTTGTACACCGGTGGTCGAGAGCTGAATATAACTCGGGATTTGCTGCAATTTTAATTTCTTAATCCATCTCTATATAAATAAATAAAAGCGACACGACGAACACATTGATGTCGTGATTAGAAATATACAAGGATTGATAAATGTCTTTGTAAATCAAATAATTTATATCAATTGTATTTATATGGGTACTATGAAGACTAATACTAAGATTGCGCTAATTAATGTGGCCATTATGAATGATCCCAAGAAATTTTTTTTTTTTTTTTTTTTGCAGTATATCCCAAGAAATAATTAAAGAGTTGGAAATAAAAGTAAAAGGAAGAGTATATGGAGATGTAATTGAGGTTTGAATGAAATAGTAATAGGTGTAGATGGATGAGAGTGAAAGAAGAAGGCAGGAAAGCAAAGCGTTTGTGATGAAACCCTAACCCTAACCCTAACCCTAACCCAAAATGTTGAATAGAATATGAATATGAATGGAAGAATTGGTTTGATGGGTTGTTTGGATTCGAGGCGACACGAGCACTTTCCCGGCGATTCCTCCCAGTAGGCATCGGGAAAGTGTCCCCCCCCAAATACTTTTTCCCTTTTATGTATGGGTTCTCGAGTGCCTGTTTCTCCATAAACGCCCTCTTCTCCTCTTCTTATTTACTCTTCCTATCCTTTTCCCCCTCCTCTAAACCCCTTTTCCCATACGCAATCAAGCAATCAAACAAACAAACAAACAAACAAACCCATTTACTTTCACACTTGCATTCTGAGTCAGTCAACGCAAACTTGCATTACTAACTAAGAACAAACAAATTCTCACCTTTTAACTCTTTCTTCCCTGACACTGGAGAGGTTTGTCAGGACCATACCTACCTACACATGGATTTCCTTTCCAATTCTTCTCTTTTTATTATATCCGGAGAGCAGAGAAAAATAATAATAATAATAATAGTGAACCCTTCCTTTTCTTTTTTAATATATACATACAGAATGTGATTGTTCTTGGGGGGTCTTTGAGGGGTCCGAATACCGATTAGGTGGTCAACATATTTAAGCTTGGGGAGTCCCGCTGATTCTTTTTTGCTTTTATTAATTTCACTCAACCCCCCTCCCTCCATTTTCATATTCCTTACACCCCATGCTCTACCTTCCAACCACGGACCAACCCTTTCACCACCACATCAAACTCAATACGTCCCATGCAGATGGGTTTCTTTCTTTCATCCTTCTAAACCGATAAAACCCTTTTCAAGTGAACATGATATGATATGTGATATGATATGTGATATGAAGGAGGGAGAGAGATTGAAAGTTTACGTAACAGTATTTATCTCTCTCGAGAGAGAGAGAGAGAGAGAAAGATATGATTTTTGAGTGTGGCAATGCTGGGGTTTGAGGAGTCATAATTGAAGAGATCGAGGACGGGAGTTCCGATATTCCAAGTTGGTGAGAGAGAGAAAGATTGGATTTTTGCAGTTGGAGTTGAGGATTTGTCTGAGTGTGCAGACACAAGGATCTCGACTTCAACTAAAATAATGTAACCTTCTTCTTTATATATAATTATTTCAAATGCTTTGGAAAGGGTAACACCATACTACAACACCATTTTCTCTTCTTTTCTCTTCCTTTCTCTTCTTCTCTCTTCTTCTCTAAATAATAATAATAATAATAATAATAATCATCATCATCATAATAAATGCTTAATTAATTCATTCATTCATTTTTTGTTTAAATTAAGTACTTTGTATCTCTCTCAAATTCTCTTTTTAGCCTCTTCCCCTTCCTCCCCACCTTTTCACTCTGTCTCCTCAATTACATGCTTCTCTTCCAAGCCCTTAACAAACAACCAAACCCTAATCTACACTCTTTTTAAAGGGTAACCCTAATCCCCTCTATATATTATCTCAACTCTCTTGCTTTTCTCTTCTCTCATATTACTTTGTTGCAATGGAATTTCCCCATTTTTTCAGGCTGAAGAAGAAGAAGAAGAAGAATAAGAAGTAGGAGAAGAAGAATATGGGATCCATGAACTCCAACAATTGGCTTTCCTTTCCACTTTCACCCACTAATCCCTCTTTGCCTCCACATCTTCAAACACCAACTCATGCCCATCACTTCTCTTTGGGAAATTTGGAGAATGACAATATGGATATCCCATTTCAAACCCACGGTAATCATTTTTATCCTCTCTTTTTTTTTTTACTGCTTCATTTTTATCCTCTTTCAAATTCTCCATATGCATATGCTTGTTGTAGAGTGGAATCTGATAAGTGGTCAAGGTGGAGGTGAAGTTCCGAAAGTAGCAGACTTTTTAGGCGTAAGCAAGGCAGAAAATGAGGCAGATCTCATTGGGTTTAACCAAATTCATGAAGCGAATGATACGGATTACTTGTTTCCAATCACAAGATTGGTTCCTCTTCAACAACACCCAACACCCGCGGCTGCTCCCATCAATATGGACTCTACTACTAACTATGACCCTCAAGATAACTCCAACAGCTTGCAGTCTTTGACACTTTCAATGGGCAGTGGGAAGCCCTCTACTTGTGAAACCAGCTCCACCCCTGACAATGCAAACAATAATACCACTCTCGATGTCACTCCTAGAAGAACTTTGGACACTTTTGGGCAAAGGACTTCAATTTATCGCGGAGTGACCAGGTATTGAATGGTTATGGGTCTGATGCTATGTTAAATTCGTGACTTAATCTGAGCCTTTGTATGGTAAATTGTAGGCATAGATGGACGGGAAGGTATGAAGCACATTTATGGGATAATAGTTGCAGGAGGGAAGGGCAGTCGAGGAAGGGTCGCCAAGGTGAAACCTTTTTCTTTTTCTTTTTTCATTTTGATTATAAAGAAAAAGCTATATAAAGGCTGCACCTAACTTTGTTTGACTTTCTTACATGCTGATCTTTGTCTCTGCCATCATCTGTGGAGCAGTCTATTTGGGTGAGTGTTACTTTTGTTCCCATCACTGTCTCTGTGTATATATTTAATTTGTAATTGAGGATTAAATTATTTGTTTGAAATGATGGGCAGGTGGGTATGACAAAGAAGATAAAGCAGCTAGGGCTTATGATCTTGCTGCATTGAAGTATTGGGGAACATCCACCACCACCAACTTTCCTGTAATCTACCACTTTTCACACTAATTTTTAACATTCATGTTCTTATTATTATATATAATTTCCAAATTTCATGAACTATTTTTTTCTTTTTTATTGCAGATTAGTAACTACGAGAAGGAAGTTGAGGAAATGAAGCACATGACAAGACAAGAATTTGTGGCTTCCATTAGAAGGTGGTCCTACTTCTAGTTTTAATTCTATCATTGTTTCCTCTAAGATTTGTTGTAAGTATACGTGCGTTTGATTTCAGGAAGAGTAGTGGGTTTTCAAGGGGCGCGTCAATGTATCGTGGAGTTACAAGGTTCAATATTTATTTTATTTTATTTTATTTTTCATCACAGCAACTCTATGTAATTAAGTATATAAATATATATATATATATATATATATATATATATATGTGGGCGTTAAAATAGGCACCACCAGCATGGGAGATGGCAGGCTAGGATTGGCAGAGTGGCAGGAAACAAAGATCTTTATTTGGGAACCTTCAGTAAGTTAGTTAGTTAGTTAGTTGTTAACTTTATATCTTTGTTATGGTATAGTTTTGATGGATGAATGGATGGATGTTGGTATGGGTTGTAGGCACGGAAGAGGAGGCAGCAGAGGCATACGACATAGCGGCCATAAAATTCAGAGGGCTTAATGCAGTCACCAACTTTGACATGAGCCGTTACGACGTGAAAAGCATACTAGAGAGCAACACGCTCCCAATAGGCGGCGGTGCTGCCAAACGTCTGAAAGAGGCACAAGCCATCGAGTCGTCTCGAAAGCGGGACGAAATGATTGCGCTTGGTTCCTCCTCTTCTTTCCAATATGGAAGCTCATCATCGTCTAGTAATTCCTCCAATCACAGGCTACAACAACAACAACAACCCTCTTACCCTCTACTCCAACAGCCTAATTTGAATATGGACCACCATCACCACCACCACCACCACCACCTTCAAACCCAGCCTTTCCTCTCTCTTCAAAACCACCACGACATTTCTCAATACACCAACGATCCCTCCTCCTTTCACCACTCTTCTACTTACATGCACACCCAACTCCAGCTTCACCACCACCAATCTGATAATGCCCCTTATCCTAACAACAACAACAACAACCATCAATTCTACGGCGGCGCTGGTGGTGGGTATCTTCATAACCATCCGGGTTTGCTCCATGGGATGATCAACATGGGCGGCGGTGGCGGAGGGTCTAATTTGGAGAGTAGTAACAACAACAATAATGCGTTGTCCAGTGCAAATCATTTTGAGAATCCTAATAATAATAGTAATGGAGGGTATCTTGGGAATGCATTTGGGATGGGTTCTACATCGGCCACCGCGAACAACGGCGCCCCAGCTGAAGAATACGCACTGGTTAAGGTTGACTATGATATGCCGCCTAATGCTGGTGGGTATGGTAGCTGGTCGGGGGATTCGGTGCAGGGTTCTAACCCTGGGGTTTTCTCCATGTGGAACGATTGATATATGATTATAATGAATTATTAATGCGGTGGAGGGGTGGAGGGGGGGAGGGTGTATTTTTTTTTTGCTTCCTTTTTTTGGGGTTATTGATTAAGAACTGGGATTCCATTTTCCAAATGTAAACTCTTGAAGTATTTAAGAGTAACGGAATGTGTGTTTTTTTCCTTGAGAAGAACATAGACACAGCGGCGGCAACGGCGACGGTGACGGGAAGTAGCGGCGGAGAAGATAAAAGCATAAAAGAAGTGTCCTTAAATATTTGAAGAATGTGTTTGTGTGTTTGTAATGACTGTATCCATGACCCTTATATTTAACCTGTTCTTTACGCCTATATCTCTCCATTTTATTCCACTCCGTCGTCTTTCACCTAACAACAACCACAACAAGCTTCTATTCTGATTCCCTTCTCAGGATCACACCCAACTCCGTGTTTATTTAGTTTTTCAGTTTATCGTTTCAAAAGAAGAACATAGGAGAATTATTGTTGGGCCCAAAACTAATGTGGGCCGGATACCTACATTCATTTAATCTCCTAATTAATTCCCAATAATATTCATTCATAAAAATATTACACTTCCAAATTGGAAAAATAATTGGGTTAGTACAATGTAAATAATAGTTGAATTATTGAATTAAATGGGAATGAGTAAATGATGAAGAATTGGCGTCATCATAATAATTACAAATTTCAGAAAAAGAAAAGGGGTTTTCAGTCATTATATTTGGGCAGTGCATGATTCCAGCAATTAATACACACTCGCATGTATTATAAATATATAAAGTCAAGCAAGTTGATGTGATGCGGGCAGCCATGATGGTGTACTCGTGTGACACCATACACCACAATATCCTATCATATCCTACGAAATTCAACCTATAAATTGGAATCATAATGCAATAAAATGATTAGTAGGTGTACCCGATATTTGAACTCGATACGGTCAAATATTTGGGGAGGTGGGCTTTGTGCTGCTTCCCACTTATAGCCCATTATCCACTCACTCTCTTTTTTTCTTTCCTCTAAGATATCATAAATTAATTTCCGTACTCTTTTTAAATAAATAAATAAATTCATTAAGTTAGACATTTATAAACATTTTAAGGCCTATTATATAGAAGGAAATAGTGTTGAAAAACAAAGAAACAAAAAGGGGTGATCTTTTTTAATGGCGAAATCATGGCCGACAAGTGCAACACCAAAGTGTATTTAGCCTTTACCTTTTAATTTCTCTATTTAGTTTTTTCGCCCAAAAACCAAATGATGCCCCGACAGGAATACATTTTATGATTTTCCATAAACAATAATAAGTGGGGTTTTTCTGTCCCTAAAAATCTATCACTTCCTTTTCTATTTACTACTCTTAGTTATATTTCACATATATATATATATATATATATTCTTAAATTTCTTTATATATATATATACATATAAATCCAATGCGTTTTGGTAGCTTTTTTTATTCTTCCTCTTCTTCTTAATGTTGGTTGAATGATTGTTATTTTATTGATCATACAGTAATTATTACAATATTGTAATATTTATAAAATGTAAAATATTAAGGGCGGCACCTAAATGAATTAAAATTTCAGTCGAGGACAGCCTAAAGGGTGAAAAAGACATTTGGGAGTCTGAATTTTGTATATATAGACCTCCTTTATGTAGCTCATTAATTAATTCAACTTTATTAGTTTCACACATGCTGATGCCCTCTTCTTTTTCTTTTGTCCCATCCTTTAAATTATATGCTATTTTTTCCAACAGATGCTAATTAAACCTTTTGATTGCAGGAAAAAAAAAAAAAGTTTAATAAAAATTCATGTTATATCATATTTCACCCTGAATTTCTAATTACATATAATTCCGTCACCGATTTGAACCAAACCAATATAAAAATTATAAAAAATCTGATAAAATCATAGACACATGAAATGTAATATTAGTTTTATAATATCATATCATATACCAAGCATTTAACTTTTTTTTTTTATATTTTAAATAATTTTGTTTTTATTTAATAATAGAGGATAACCTAATCCTATAGCCTATGCGCTCCCTACTCAACTTTGTTGATGGCTTTCGGTTTTTAAGGGATTAGTTGCTTAACAAAGCATTCACTGTTTGAGTAGTCTTAATTCAATTTCAAATATAGAATTGACAAAGAAGACAAGGCCGTGTGAATTAAAAAACATTGCTTCTATTGTACCATGTTGTCTTGGTGCCAAAATTTCAAATTAAATTCTGGAAGATATAATATTTGTTATTTTATAAATACATGATCTTTCACTTAATTAACTAGTTAACGTGAGAGTAATCGACGGTAATAGCAAAACGGGTAGGTAGGTAGGTAGGACTGAATGGGGAGGCATGTCTTGTGGAATGGTAGATGTGAAATGTCATCCTATCTCTGATATCGATATTGCTATAGCCCTTCGGATCAACGACCAATCTTTTTTGGTTTTTTTTCCCTGGTTTTATGGGCTACACGTGTGCCCCAGTATTTGTTTTAAAACTTGAAATTCTTCACTTTAACCAGCTCATGACACTCAACACATCTCTACGGCTGGGTGGGTGCCATTTCTAGCTATTTATTTCTTCCCATGATCATGTCACTAATATCCCTTAATGAAAGAAAAAGGAATGTATGATCTCTGTATGCTAAAACTAAAATATATGTAGCTTAGCTGAAGAGAGAAGGGAGTAGTAATAGTAACTGAAGTGTGAGAAACTCCATAAGGAGCGTAAAAAAGGCGCAAAATACGCCCAATACCAACAAACCCAAATGCCCTCCTATAAATGCCAATAAATCATCTCTCTTTCCCTCCATCCTCTTTCCTCCCAAGCTTAGACATGGATTTGGATCACCCATCCGCGCCAGACCTCGATCTTCACAGTCTCGGGGCCCTCAGGGTACTCGGAAAAGGAGCCATGGGGACCGTCTTCCTCGTCCACCACCGCCTTGCCGATGACCCTGCTCATTTCCCCTTTGCTCTCAAGGTCGTCGACAAATCCTCTTTTGTCTCCAAGCTCGACGCGGAGCGCAGAGCCCGTTGGGAGATTCAGGTTCTTTCTCGTTTGTCCTTCCCTAAACCCCACCCCTTCCTCCCCCACATTATCGGTTCATTCGAGTCCGACGAATTTTTGGGCTGGGCCCTTCCCTACTGTCCTGGCGGCGACCTTAACGTCTTGCGTCACCGTCAAATGGACCGGGTTTTCTCGCCCGCCGTCATCAGGTTCTATTTGGCCGAGATAGTCTGTGCGCTCGACTACCTCCATAGCCTGGGCATCGTCTATCGAGATTTGAAGCCGGAGAATGTATTGATTCAACAATCGGGTCACGTTACTCTCACGGACTTTGATTTGTCGCGTAATTTGACTCGCAGAACAGTAAATGACGTCGTCTCGCTTGATAACTCCGGCCACGAGAAGCCGACGGTGGTCGTCCGGCCAAAAAACGGGCGGAAATTGACGCGATGGTTTATGGCGACCTCCAATGCTCGAGACGGGTCAAGGAAGGCTAAATTGGCTCGGGTTAGCCCTGTGAGCCGCCGGAAGCCGAGTTTCTCCAACGGCGAGCGGTCGAACTCGTTTGTCGGAACAGAGGAGTATATTTCGCCGGAGGTCGTTCGAGGCGAGGGACATGAATTCGCCGTCGACTGGTGGGCCCTGGGGATTCTCACGTACGAGATGCTCTACGGGACGACGCCGTTTAAGGGGAAGAACCGGAAAGAGACGTTTGGAAACGTTCTGTTGAAAGCTCCGGAGTTGATCGGAAAGCGTTCGGATTTAACGGATTTAATCGAACGGTTGCTAGTGAAGGACCCCACCAGGCGGTTAGGGTACGTACGCGGCGCATGTGAGATCAAAGAGCATGCGTTTTTTAACGGCGTGAAGTGGGACCTATTAACGGAGGTCATGCGTCCGCCATTTTTACCCCCTGACGAAGAAACGGAGTTGACGAAGAATCCAGCGCTCGGTGGTGTGGGTATAACGGAATACTTCCATAGACAGAGATCCCCGGCTTCGTTTCCACCATCGGCGTCGTCAACTCCGTCGACCTCCTTCAGTTGGGAGAATAACAACAACAAGTGTTTGACGGAGTTCTGACACACGTGCGGCGGGGTTGCACGCGTAAGAGTTCGATATTCTTTGGCCTGCTTGTGTAGTTTTAGACTTTAGTGTACATAAATGGAATAACCCAGCAGTAGACGAACGTGAAAATTGATGAACATTAATGCGTTGTTAAGGTAGAGATTAATTTGGTAGCAACTAAATCATGAATGCTTAATGTAATTGAATGGAAGGAATGTCACGCGCTAGGGAGGCGCGTGTTTTCCCCCCCCCCCGAATTTTAATTTCCTCTTTATGTAATGCCTTGTGCGTTTCCTTCCCTATGAAAGGGGAGAGGGAATCAAATTCCTTGACGTTTCTTATAATTCATCCGAACAGGAATTGTTCTTGTTTTCTTCAATATTAAGTTTGCCACAAATTCTTTTTTTTTCTAATACCCTTTTAAATGCAAGTTTTTATTTTTATTATTTTTCAAATTTATAATCATAAATGGAAATTTGGTGGCGAAAGGTAAGGCAGAAATGCAAATCTTCAGGTGTTGGCTATTCTCGTAAAGCAAGGAAAGAATTTGATGCGTTTTATTTTATATTTGTATTAATTGATGCAAGTGGCAGCAGAAGGGATGAAACAAAAGAAATGATGTAATTATTAGAAAAATGAATAGAGCAGCGGTATGAAAGGTCCGCCCGGAGAGGTAATAGGGGGTATGAGTATGAAAGGTCCGGAGAGGTAATAGGGGGTATGAGTAGGAGTGGGAAAGAAAAGGCGAGGCCAGCTTTTACTTTAAATTGGCGCCACATTAATTTAAGGATGGAGCTTATCATATCATTGCCTGACAAAAAAAAGATTGGGCATTGTTGTAATTTGGTAAGTGAAAGAATCACGTGAAGTAGATGGAGATACACAAAGCAATTAAAATAAAGTTTATAAATGAGGAAAAACATTGTCCTCTTCGGTAAATGTGAAATAGAACCCTTCAAAAATATAAAAAATAGTATTTTAAATAGATATAACAAAAGTATTTAGATTGATTGGACCGATGAAATGAAGCGAATCTAAAATGAAAGTAACGCCAGAAAAGATAAAATATACAAATGAAATCACCTGATTTGAGGGTACGTGTCCTGCGGGAGGCTGATTAATTAATATCTGAAGACGAAATGAAATCACGGTTGGTCATCGGACGATGGAGCCTCCAACGCAGGCCACCCTATGCGATGGATGAATTTAGGGGGCCGACGGCCAAAAAGAGGTACCCTCTATCTTGCTTCATCTGTTTCCATCTTCCAAAAGCTATAGCCCCATAGTCACTGTTTCCAATTCAGGCCTTCCCCAGATTGTCTCTTCCGGACAGCTTCGTCCTTTAATGTCCCTTTCAAACATTATTCTACATCAATAAACTCCTTGTCTTCCAATTTGATGCGTTTTGTTTTTTAATTTTCCAAAACTCGTATGCAACGCAATTTAACATTTATTAAACCCTGTAGTATTTGGAGCAACATTGCATTTTGATATATAAGAATATTAGAATGAAGATTAGGTTATGCGTTGCTTTATTGTTGGGAAACAATATCCCAACATCATGATGAGAAGAAGTGGCATTAATGGTGGGGGAAGCCGGGTGTGTGACTTTCCGACCCACCCATTCTAAAAAGATTTTCAATCTTCTTCTTTCTTTCTTTTTTTTTGTTAATTAAAAAAATATAACTTTTAAATTTTGTAACCATTCAATCCCTATATTCTTAGTATTTACTCTTATAATAGTTAAAGAAATATTGTTTTAAGCTTTTTGTGTCTCTATATATGCAACAATTCATTGGTCATCATCTATTGGTTTGTTGAACTTTTAAGAAGTACAAAACATGGTGTAATTTCAGTTCTGAAAAGCCCATCTATTAGAATATCCAATTAGATAATTGGGCTGCTTTTGGGGCCTGTGTTTTGTGTTTTGGGCTTCAAGAACTCCAAAGCCCAACGGCTCTCTATCAGATTATATCATCATAAGGGTAAAGTTAACCCTTAACTAAACCAGTTATATTATCCTAAAAAATAACTCTATAATTATGCACCTTCCCAATATTGTTTATTTTAAAAGAATAAATACTTAGATATCCTAACATTTACATCAACCAATTATATCATCATATGGGTTTTACAATTAATCTTTCTTCTTTTTTTTTTTTTATAATTTTTTATAATTTTTTTTTGAAATCGAAGGCAATTACCTCAGTGTTTTCCTAATTGTTGCCAATTTGCAATAAAAAGATAAAAGGAAAAATTAAAAGAAACCCTAAATCCCTTCCTTTCCCTCTCTATCTCCCTCCGTTACCCGGGTATCCGCACCCCATCGTGAACCAGTCGCGGTCCCTTCTCGTTTTCGCGGTGCCAGCCCTCTTCTCTTGCGTTTTCCGCTTGCTGGCTACTATACCTGCAGACGCGACGCCCTCTTCTCTTGCGTTTTCCGCTTGCTGGCTACTATACCTGCAGACGCGACGCCCTCTCTTCGGCCACTGTTCTTCCTCGACGTATCGTCACCGGCGAGCAGGCATTGATACGGGCCCTTCACCTACGCGGTCGACGACATCACCCACGCTGCAGTTCTGCCCGGAAACTCGTCCCCATTGATCGCGAGCATCGGCATCTCGAACTGGCTGTGTGACTCTCCTGCGACGCACGACGACCTACAGTAGTTCGATCCTCCGGCGATTCAGACCCACAAGCCGCAGAGCAGATCTGATTCTTTCGAACCAGGCCCGTGTAGTTGCGATTTTCCTGCTTTTGATGCATTTTGGCGGCAACCCACTGTTCTATCTACCTTGTTCCAGATTACCCGTAGACTAAGAAGGTTAGATTTGTGAGTTCGTATCAATTCAAACCCCAACCAGCAAGCGTTCGAAGCTGTTTGGCGGCGTTCAGTAGGTAAGAGTTCACTCCTAACCTCTTTCGAACTTTTTTAAGTTCTGTAGTTTGGCTTATAACCCTTAGAACTATTCTCGATGTAGCCTTGGACTGTTATTGGACTCCTTCCCACACTTTTCAGCAAGGACCCTAGTCAATTAAGGAGTTTTGATTAGATTCTTTCAAATTCAATTAAGGAGCTGTAAATTAGTTTATAGCCTCTGGAAACTCTTTTTTGTAATTTGGACTTGATTGAGAGTGTTCAAATTAAGTTGGAAGGCAGATTTTTTCTTTTTCTTCCTTTTTTTGGGAAACACCTCTTTTGAGAATTATTGTAGTTCGATTGAGGTTTTCGAACTATGGACATTAAAACCTTGCTCTGGTTGTTTAGGAGCACAATAGGTAAGTAGAATTCTACTGTGTCTATTTGCTGTTTGTTACCAACGCGTGTGTTTTAGTTATGCTATAATTATTAATTATGATTTAAGTTTTTGTTGTTCTTGAATCTTATGTGTTATTGATGATGATGTGATATTGTAATGACTTGCTCATGTAGTGTTATGCGCTTGTGTGTTGATGAACATGATTATTTGTTGAGAACATCTGAATAAGTTTGAGTTATTTTGAGACATGTTTTTCTTTGAAGTGGTTTTGGTATAAAACATGGTTTTGAAGCATGCTATAGAACTCGTGCATTATTGTGAGATAGTGTGAGAAAGAGGTCTCTCATGCATTCTAGTGAGAAGACTGTGTGAGAAAGAGGTCGCTCATGCATTTTGGTGAGTAGTGTGACAAAGAGGTATGAGGATTGTGTGTATAAAGGAAAGTTGGGTGAATATCAGGTGCCTCCATCAAATGTTCAAGTGGTGATATGTCATCATTGGATTTAGAGAAATATTGATGGTTTTTTTAAAAAAAATAGTTTGTGAGTCTAGAAAGGCAAGTATTAGATATTTTCGAGAATGTCGATGGCCCTTAATAAAATGAGTTGGCGTCTAAGAAAAGAATCAATGGCCCTTGATAAAATTAGTCGGGGTCAACAGAGAGTGTTCATGGCCCTGGATAAAATCAGTTGGGGGCAATTAAGAATGTCGTTGGACCTAGATAAAATCAGTTGGGGTCAATGTGTCTCGAAGGAGTCGGCCTTAGAAATCCTTGTGAGAGTTAAATTATGGGTGTTAGATTGACTTGAGCTTGAGTATGGATTACATTATGTGTCGGTTCATGTGTCTAGCATGTTGCAACTATTATTTACTTCTCATGTATATTGAGGATTAATTGTATAATTGTTGAGAACAGCCTTATGTTTACCTTGTATTCAGTTTAGCAGTGTACTCCATGTTTAGACTATTTGGGGGCATTTCATATTGTCTACTTCTGCGCTATTTGATATGCATATTTTCTGGAAATCTTAATAAAAAGCCCTCCTGCTTATTAAGTACCTCTTTTTGTTTGACAGGGTTTGGTATGGATAGTAAGTACAGCAGAGAGTCGTCGGATGAGGATGAAATGAAAAGGAAAACAAATAGACAGCCCCATAGTAGTAGAAAAAGAGATAGACAACATGGTCATCATGAAGATGATAGTGATTCTTCCGATGCCAGTGAAGGATACAGGGGTAGACGACATGAGAAGAAAGATGACGACCAGGCTAAGAGAATTAGTGGGAATAATGATGGCCACACACATGAAAGGTGGCAGAACGAAGATGAAAAAAAGACTGCATCTCAACGATTTCCTGATGAAGGTTACAAGAGAATAGACAGAGAGAATAATGGGCAAGGTAGAGACAAAAGGCATCACGATGGAAATCGGTGCAGAGAGCAAGAGAGAGGAGACCGGAAAGAATCACATCAAAGTTTTGAGGCAGAAGAGCAGAGAATGGACAGAGACAAAAAGAGGCACAATAGAGACAGAAGGCATCAAAGTGAACATAGGCAGAGAGAACAGGAGCGAGTAGATCGGAAAGAATCACACCAAAGTTCTGATGAAGATGAGCGGAGTGTAGATAAAGAAAAAAATAGGCACGATAGAGACAGAAGGCATCGGGGTAAAAATCCACACAGAGAACTAGGGAGAAGTGGCAAGAAAGAATCATATCAAAGTAACGATGAAGATGAACAGATAACTGGGAGAAACAAAAATAGACATGATAGAGACAGAAGACATGAAGATGAAAATCAGCATAGTAGAGAAAAAGAGAGAGGAGACCAAAAAGAATTATATCACAGTTATGATGAAGATGAGTGGAAAAATAGGAGGCATGACCGTAGACAACGTGAAACAGAGAATGGAAATAAAATTACGGATCGCCATTTGCGTCATGATTCAAAAGATGAGCGTGACAAGGAATTGCATAGAAAATCTGAAGATCGAAGGAATTGGACTGATAATGATAGGGAGAGGAAGCATTCAAAACATGATTACAAGTCTAGCAATTCTCAAGATCAACGAGATAAGGAGGTGAGTGGATGGAGGGAGGATAGAAGAAACATTGGGGGGAAAGAAAACGTTGGTACAGGGACTCTCAACCATCTACAACCACACAGACAGGAAAAACAGTCTGAAAACAATCTGAATCCTGATGCTTCAAATCTGGGGAAGAGTGGGGGGGTTTATATTCCACCATTTAAGTTGGCCAGAATGATGAAAGAGGTTGAAGATAAGAGCAGCATTGAGTATCAACGTTTGACATGGGATGCACTTCGAAAAAGTATTAATGGGCTTGTCAACAAGGTCAATGCTACTAATATAAAAAATATCATTACAGAGTTATTTGCAGAGAACCTGATCAGGGGTAGGGGTCTATTTTGCCGTTCCTGCATGAAGTCACAAATGGCATCTCCAGGGTTCACTGATGTATTTGCAGCACTAGTTGCTGTTGTGAATACCAAATTTCCGGAAGTGGGCGATCTTCTATTGAGAAGAATTATCTTGCAGCTCAAAAGAGCATATAAACGGAATGACAAGGTAATATTGCACGATGCTTGTAGTTTTTATAATTTTCTCCATTTAGTTGCAAGATCTTCCATATTTAATAATACTGCTGATCCTCATTGCTTTTATATATCTTTGACAGCCTCAACTACTAGCGGCCGTAAAATTTGTAGCACATTTAGTTAATCAGCTGGTGGCACATGAAATAATTGCATTAGAGTTACTCACTGTGTTGCTGGAGAATCCTACAGATGACAGCGTGGAGGTGGCCGTTGGTTTTGTTACTGAATGTGGATCAATACTTAATGATCTTTCTCCTAAGGGGCTTCATGGTGCGTATGTCATTGTCCTACATTAGGCAGTGCTCAATCATTTTAATTCACCATGGTTCCCTGTTTTCTCTTTGCATGTATCTGTGTCGTGAAATTATCATTGTCTAGCCATGCTCATTCTGTTTGTTGGGCTTTCTGGAAAATCCTATACCATCTGCAGAAAATTATCAACTTTCAAGTTGCTTCCACTTTTTTCTTTTTAGCCTTCCTCTTGTTGGAGCATGTGATTATTGAGAATTTCAGCATTTTCTATTATCTGAAAGTTAAAATTGTTTTTATTTGTCTTCAGAACTCAAGGACATTGTTCACTCTATAGAATAGATTTTGTTCAAGCAAGGTTGTTTATTTATTTGTTTTAGTCGTATTCTTTTAAAAAATACAATTCACATATGATCCATTCCTATTGTACCCCAAGATTGTATATTCATATCCCTTTATTTTTTTTATTCAATGATTGTAGGAATATTTGAGCGTTTTCGTGGAATTCTTCATGAAGGAGAAATAGACAAAAGGGTCCAGTTTCTGATAGAAGGCCTATTTGCAATAAGGAAAGCAAAGTTTGAGGTATAGTGACTTTTTGTCTTAGCTCTTCCCCCTATTAGTCTAAAAGGTTCCTTTTCTCAAATATTCTTGAGATGTTGTGATTGTATTGACTGTTCACAAATTTTTGGAAGATTAAGTTATGAGTTCAGTTATTATTGTTGTTATCATTATTTTTAGGAATGAGTTAAGATGTAATTCTTACTATGGGATGAAGTTTTAAATAATTTATCATTTGAGTATTGAATCATTGCTTTTTAATGCACAGCAGTAGCCTCTTGTATCAATTTCTTGTTCTCCATGAAAATTCGTTTCTATATAAACTGGTGTAAAATGTGTCTGGAAGTAAATTGTAACTAGAGTTTTTGCCCCCACCATTTTAAAATCCAGTATTACTTTCATATTACCAACATTGTGTGACTTTGAATTTTGAATTTCACTTTTTGCAATGCACCCGGAATGTCCAGTGTGAAGGGTTATCTATTTGTTTGATTCCAAGCACACATTTTCTTTTGTAGCTGCAACAATGTTTTGATTTTTTTTTTCCTCCTTTTGAATTTGATTCAGGGCTATCCAGCTGTTCGTCCAGAACTGGACCTTGTAGAGCAAGAAGATCAGTTAACTCATGAAGTATCTCTGCAAGAAGAGATAGATCCTGAAATTGCTCTTGGTACTTTTTTTTTCCCTTCTAAATATAAACTTGTACATGCTTTGTTAATTAATCAAACTGGGTGTTCTCATGTTGTTCGTCTTATTTATGTATTTGTATATTTTCCTGTTTTTCTTCCAGATATCTTCAAATCTGATCCAAATTTCCTTGAAAATGAGAAGCGTTATGAGGATTTAAAGAAAAATATACTTGGTGAGGAATCTGAGGATGAAGAAGACCGATCTGATGCTGGATCAGATGAGGATGAGGAGGAAGAGGATGAATCTGAAGAAGAAGATGAGGAGCAGATGCTAATAAATGATGAAACAGAAACCAATCTTGTGAACCTCAGAAGGACAATTTATCTGACAATTATGTCCAGTGTAGACTTTGAAGAGGCCGGGCACAAGCTTCTCAAAATTAAACTTGAGCCTGGTCAAGAAGTAAGTTCTATTAGTTCTTAATGTTGCTAATACTTTTTTACTACAATTTCATATTAACCACTGCTCTTTTCTTTTTCCTGAAATTGAAGTTGGTTTCCATTTTTTATAATAGTGCCGTGTAATCTCGATGTTTGTCTGGAATTGTTGTATGTTATACAAGTGGTACAGGTGTGGTTGATCTCATTCGTTTGATGTGGTCTTTGCAGATAGAGTTATGCGTCATGCTGTTGGAATGTTGCAGTCAGGAGAGAACTTATCTTCGATATTATGGTCTGTTGGGGCAAAGATTTTGCAAGATCAACAAGGTGCATCAGGAAAATTTTGAGAAATGCTTTGTCCAGCAATACTCGATGATTCACAGGCTCGAAACTAATAAGCTAAGAAATGTGGCCAAATTTTTTGCCCACTTACTCGGGACTGATGCTCTCCCATGGCATGTTTTGTCCTACATTCGATTGACTGAAGAAGACACCACATCTTCATCTAGGATTTTTATTAAGATCCTTTTCCAGGTATTTCTCGTCTACCCTGATGGTGATTTATATGATTGTTTTCGTTGGTTGTTAAATTCTGTATATTGGTGTCAATTGTGATGCAGGAACTGTCGGAGCATTTGGGAATTCGACTGTTGAATGAACGCCTGACGGATCCAACAATGCAGGATTCGTTTGAGTCCATATTCCCTAGGGACAACCCAAAAAACACGAGATTCGCTATAAACTTCTTTACGTCTATTGGGCTTGGTGGACTGACAGAGAATTTGCGAGAGTATTTGAAGAATATGCCGCGGCTGATCATGCAACAGCAAAAACCAGTGTCGGAGTCGGATGAGGAGTCTGGAAGTAGTGATTCGTCAGATTCAGATTCAGATTCAAGTGTGTCATCAGATTCATCAGAAAGTGAAGAAGAGGAAGAAGATAGGAGACGTGGAAAAAAGAGAAGAAAAAGTGGAAGGTGATGATAATGTTTGTATATTTTGTCCATTAGCTGTTAGCAAGATATGGTGTGATGTGTTAACTTTTTGATTGTTTCCCCCTTGACGACACAGTATTTTATATATGCAATGACGATGATAAAGATGATTCTCATTCTATCTTCTCTTTACACCCACCAATGATAAAGACGATCTGTTAGACATGTAATTGCATTCAAAATCAAGACTTCTCTAAGTACAATGATATTTTTCAAAAAAATAAAATAAAATAAAATTGTACATGTTCAAACTAATAATCACTTTGACTTCTGAATGTCAGATTGTCCTTCTGGGTTACTGTTCTTTCTGAAATTGGGCGTTTTGCATTCTGGGTTTTACTTGTTATAACTGAATGCTTTTGATTCTTTAGCTGAGTTGTTTTCCAAGTGCCAGTTTTATTGTTGCTTTTGATTCATTATTGTGTGAATAAACTCGATCTGAATATGCTTCCATCATAGGCGATCCTCTTTGGCCCCTATCTGCTGACAGCCTATAGCAGTAGTGAATGGATATCAAAACTTGACTGGCCAAGTCTTTTTCAGACGGATGATTCTGTTTCCTTCATGTGCAAAGCTTTTGTTGTTGCATTTTCCCAAGAGTATGGAAACACATTTGCCTTCACGAAACTCAAACCAGTCGATAACAATGGAAAAGTATCCTGGACGAGGAACGGATTCTGTTGTGCATGCTACACTCAGGCTCGTCACAGAATAGCGAGACGTGATTGGCAAACGGGTTATGCTAGAACCATTTAATTTAAAAATGAAAAACTTACAATTGCATATTCGATCTAACTAGTTGAGGAATTGGGTGGACAGAATAGTACCGTACCGTATCCTAAAAGTCCGCAAACACTGAAGGCTGCTTTGTTTACAATGGAGTGAACTAAGAATCTGGTGCACGACTGAAGCGAAGCTGCAAGTCAAAGTTTTCATTAGCCGATGGATTCTCAGTCAAGCGTCCAGCTTTGAGATGGAAAATGGAGGCAGTCACTAGTTGCGAAGGGATCGTCAAGGAACTTTCTTCTGCCACCATTGCTGAGTTTCAGAGATGAATGCTACACACAGTATACTTCAACATTATTGCGTACCCATGTCGGTTGAAAGATTAAAATAGTTAAACACATTTATCATTTGCTTTTTACGTTACAATTAGTGGTGGGGCATGAAACTACAAACAACAATACATAGCTATTTAGTGAGAATGAGAAGACTGGCATGGCCATGGTGACAGCAAGCAATTAAGAGTTAAAAATGAGGGATCACAGTATACCACTGGTTTGAATGCAAAAGCCATAAATGATGCGAGTCATTCTCTGAAATAAAGGCTGTTCACGTGAGGTGTGTCTTTCTTTCTTTCTTTCTTTCGTGAATGTCACTGAAACCGATTGAAGGAAGCGGTCCAAATGGACAAGTATCCAAACGCTGGCATTGCTTCTCTCTTCTCCATCACTCCCCTCTGTCCCACCTCTCCACATGCTTTGTTTTCTGCTTTCCTTCTTAATGCACAGCCTCCTCCCCTCACCGCTGTACTATAACTATAAAACACACATAAATGTGGTACAGATTCATCCTTTTTGGGACTTCATTCTCTGTCAAATCTCCATGAAAATAAAAGTTTCTGGAGAATCTATAATCAAAAGCTCACATATTCAAACAACCCAATAACCTTGCACCATTCGTTTCGAGGTTTACATCAGACTGTATAGTACAACTAAAACAATAGTTACATAATTTTACGACCAAACTTCTTCTTTCTTTTTTTTATTTTTTTTATTTCAAAATAGTAATAATAAAAAAAAAAAGAAACGTATGAGCAAACTAAGACCCCGATTCCATGGTACCACAATCAAATATAATACTAAATTTGGCTCTATCAAAGACACAGATTCTTATGATAACAATCAATCAGTTAAGAAGCTTAAAGAGTAAAGGTCTTACTTTTTTGTTTATGGGACCTCTTTTACATAATAGCAACACAAACATGAACTTTCTAACAAGCTTTGAGCGGCTTCCCACACAGACAGTCATTGAAAACAAATGACGCTGCTTCCAAATGATCGAACGGGGCTCCACTAGGGATCGGCCCACATAGATGGTTGTGGCTCAAATCCATATGTCCGATATATGAAGCTTGCGATACTGATTTCGGAATCGCCCCCTTCAAGTTGTTGTACGACAAATCCAGCACTGTGAAGTACGATCTTGGCCCGAAAACATCTGGTACGTTTCCGGTTAGATAGTTTCGGCTTAAATTCAAATCGCTTATGCTCGAAACTAAAATACTCGCCGGGATGCTGCCTGAGAATTTATTGCCGTCCAGATTCAACGTCGCCAAAACCGCCATTCTGCCGATCCATTCGGGGATTGGACCGGTTAGTTGGTTCATAGAAAGATCCAGGTCCGCGAGGCGGTAGATCTTCGAAATTGAACCGGGAAGTGAACCGGAGATCTGGTTCCGGCTCAGTAAAGCCCGGCTCAACATCCTCATGTTCCCGAAATTTTGGGGTAACGGACCGGAGATTTTGTTGTTTCGGAGGTCCAGGTGCATCAAATTCGGAATTGATGCAAGCGACGCCGGAATTGAACCGGAAATCAGATTGTCCGCAACGTTCAGAACCGTGAGTCGTCGGAGCCGACCAATATCGGCCGGAAGGTCGCCAGAGAGACGGTTGCCAATGAGGTCAAGAATCCTAAGGAACGGCAACGAGGTTATACATCTCGGAATCTCGCCGGTAATACCCTTCCAGTCGGCAATAACAACGCCGGAGAGGCGAGTGAGCTTGCAGATGGCAGGAGAAATATGGCCGGTCATAAAACCAGTACGGTGAGCCCGTTCGAAAATAGGGTCCTCAGATTCGCCCCGGAGGTTAATATCGGCAACCCGGTGGGTGACCGAGTCACAGCTAATGCCGTACCACCGGTTGCAACAGTCATCTCCGGTCCAGGAATTGAAGATTCCTAAATAGGGCTCCTGAAGGGCAGCTCTGAAAGCCAGAAGAGCTGCCCGTTCGGACGGTGGGCAGGCATGAACGGCGGAGGAAACGGCGAGAATGAGTAAAATGGATAAGCACCGAACGGCGGTGCGCATCTTGAGCTGGGATCCGTTAAAAGCAACTGTGAAGAAATAAATGAAAATGTCGGGTGGGATCAGAGTGAAGCACGGGCAATGAAGTGAACGCTGCAAATATATAGAGCCATTGAAGAGAGTGCCGAGGAGTAGAATGACGATTATGCCCCTAACATGGGTACGTGAAATTAGTGTGACACTTTAAATATGCTCGTGTCCTTTATCGAATTTTCCCTCGCGTCTTCTCCACGTCATCCATCGGGACATGTGCTATGCAAAAGTGTGCATGTGTTGTGTTAGATTATTGTTATTATTTTTATGGAAAATATTGTACAATTTTCAAAATTGTTTACTCATGAGTTGACTCAAGATGAAAAAAACAAAAAACAAAAAACTTTTTATTCATTTAAATTTCACAATAATTTAATATTTTATCGTAAACAAAAAAAAAAAAAAAAGAAAAAATGTTTTTTAATTAGTTTATTAGCATATTTGATGAATGAGGTATACTATATCTGGGGCAAGTAAAGTAGGGCAGAGGTTGAGTTTAGGTATATTTGGCGTATTAATAGCCTGATGCTATGGCGCTGGGAAGGAGGTGGGTGGGTGGGTGATGGATCCTCACAATTTGAGAGCTAAATTAAACTTCCCTGCAGGCCTAAGATGCATATGATTGAGCATTCATTTTGACATTACATTTGTGCATCTTAGTATTCAATCAAATATGGGCGTTAATGAGGGAGTTTATCATAAATAATTGAAAGCAGAACCCAATCTGTGTCTCCTATATGGGAATCACAGGTTTGGAAGGAAGTGGGGTGATGAATAGAAAACCCCTTGTCGCTTAGCCAATGCATTAAATGGGGTTGAATTTAGGCTTATCGCGAAGCTGTACCGGAGGTGGGGGTGTGTGGGTTGATGAACTTGAACATCACCACGTTTCGAATGGGGCCATTCATTATGTGGTCTGAACCCAACTTTCCATCTCTCCATCTCTCTCCATCTATTGTATTGTCCCATATACATATGCATATCTGCATATACATAAATTTGAAAATTATTCAAAGTACGTGGAGACAACACAGCCCCTCCATCAACCTCCAACTGATTGCAATGGAAGATGCATAATTCAACTCATTTTAAAATGGGTATGGCATGAAAATGACCTCACTCATTTGAACCCAAATTATAGACTTGTTACCATACTCATACATACCCAACCGACATCCAATTTTCTTCTTATCCATATCCATAGCCTAAAGCTACAACAACGCATTCACTTCTTTAATTAATACCTTTATTAGGATTTTATTAGGTTGGAGTTTTTGGAATCCTACAACTTTCTTCTTCCTTCCCTCTCCACCCTTCATTGTCCTCTTACAAATGTCTCCCACCAAAACGCATTAATTAATGAATCTCTAGAACAAGAAAAACATGAATTGGGTTCGGTTATTTCTTTTGTTTTGTTTTTTTTTTTTTTTTTTTTTTTTTAAAAAAATGTATTTAAACTAAGATCTTGCAGTGTTCCGGATAATTGATTAATTAACTGGGTTGCAAATCAAGGGGAAGGAGCTAGGTGGCTGTATTGATTAATTAATTTGGTTAGGAAATTAGGTTATTGTTCCAAGGGCATATATTCTTCTACATAGGTTGCTGATTATTATCATTATTGTTTTGATTTGTATATAAGAGTTAAAAACAGGGTGGGGTTTGATTAAGTTTGGTATATGCATGTGGAAATGCATGTGGAAATGCATGTGGAGAGAGAGAGAGAGAGAGAAAGAGAGAAATGTAGGAGGAGATGAAGCACATAATATGGGGAGGTCAGTAAAAGGCCATTAAAGAAGTGAATTTGTTGAGGTTCATTAGCGGCCCAGTAAAAGCCCAGAATGGTTGCTGGGCTTTTGGAAGTCAAGATTTGAGGAGGGCCGATTGATTACCCATTTCCTGTTCTGTTCTAACTTTAAAAAAAAAAAAAAAAAAAAAACAAAAAAAAAATCTCCATCATCATTAATAATGATTTAGAGATTTTGATATAAAAAGAAAGTA